ACTTTTCCAAAGATAAATCAATCATTGCAAAAAATGATTTTTTTTTTCTGATACACTCCCCTCATCTAAGAGATGGTATAAAATTCAAATTGTTATCGTTCCAGTTTAACTGCTCTCCATTTTCATGTTAATGTCATGATATGTTTAGCGAAAAAAATTACATATAAAAAACATTGAAAAATCATATGGTATTAATCTTCAAATAATGAAGGCCTAATTTGTTATCAAGCCGTCTGAACTTAACAAAATACGTTTTATATTCGAACAGTCGCTTGTATTTATGTATGATTTATATCCACCAAAACGTTTGTATTAATTGGTTAATTAAAACCAATTTCTTTTTTACCCACCCAGCCATTTGAGAATATAATGCAGATTTAAAGCAACATAAGCACATAGATAACAAAGTTGACACAATTAAAACAAATTCAATGACTAACAATATTTCTCGCCATTCTTATATTCTGAGAAAGCCCAATACAACAGCTCTGACTTTATTTCATTCCAAGTATGTTCAATTGAAATTTCGCTCCCATCATATTAAATTATCTGTATACACCTAATTTTCAAGGTGTTTACGCCAATACGTGCATATGTACCTGAATATGTTTGATCATCTGATCCTGTCTTGCACGTCTCTACTAGTTTCTTCATTTGTTCCCGAATCATCATTTCAAGATCTTCCTTCAACGATTCTGTCCCCGATGTGGACTCGTTGAATTTTCCTACAACATGACAAAACATTAAAAATATGAACATTTCAGATCTGTTAAGTTTGCTCGACTTTTACCCCGTCTCAGTTCAAATTTTATATTCATTTCTTTCATTTAATATTTTATAAAATACACAAAATTGACATGATTCATCACATCTTGATTAATTGTTGGAACGTGTTTTTCAAAATTAATTTTCGACCTACTAATCAAATCACAATTATATCATTTTAAAGTCAAGTTTCATGCGTTTTACATTATATCATATTTAAGACAATTTAAGAAATATACCATTTGCTTTATTATTCTCCGTGGTTTCCGGGCGTCGAAAGTTCTTAAGTTGTTCTTGAATGGCTTCAAACATCCTTGATGATTTGTTACAAACTGAAAATACATAAATGCTATAAATGCTATAAAAGAAAAAGCCATGGGCCTAATTTATATCTCATTCACATTTAGTCTATGACTAGGCTACGACGCCCGTAGCCCTCTCTCCCCGAAATCAAGAGATACTTGGGGCGGCCGCAGGTTATCTTTGATATACTCAGGGTCATCCGCGGCGTATCTCAGGCCGTAGTAGCGAGAAATAGTTTCATGATTTTACGTTAGTCGTTGCAATTAGATACGGCGTGACCATGCAGTAGGGCCATTCCAAAGTGCAGGGGCGCCCAAAGACGACCGTGTTTCATCACTTCAAAGGCTATACGGCCGCCGCAAGTTTCCCGTCTCAACAAATTCAGAATACGCCATGCGGCAATTCTAGCATATCTGATCGCTACAGTATGTGACCATGGGAACGCTACGGCATCCCTATTGACCTTAGACATTTTAGACCCCAAGGCCGCCACGCTGTGACAAACGTACTTTAACAATAACTATTGTTCACAGTAACTATTGATGCATGTTGCACTAAATATTCTTACCTTCAGAACTGGCGGCAACATTGATACGACTTTCGGTTGTTAACGCATCTTTTTGGCAACCCTTCAGCTGATCTTTAATTTCTTGGAACATTGTGGAGGACTTGTTGCAAACTGCAAATACATAATGATCAAACATACAATCTGCGTCGAATAACGAAAAAGCATGAAACGAGAACCATGTAACAAAACGTCTGGGAGATGAATTACTTTCTTAAGTCTCTGTCACATTTGCTCTACGGCGGGCGTACGGCAGCCGTAGCTTCACCACAAAATCAATATAGAAAATCTACATCATACTGCTCATCCTTCTTATGCTGCATATGTATATTAGATATGTAAATTTTGGGAAGCTACAGCCTCCATACGGTTGCCGTAGATCAAATGTGACTGAGGCATTAGATATTTATAAATATTGTAAACTTCTAACCTTCTGAGTCAAGCAGTGGTTCATTGGTCGTAATGTCGTCAGTGTCATCTTTCTCGGTGTTATCATTTGATAATTTGCTCAACTGTTTCTTCATTTCTGCCATCGATTCTTTCAATTCCACCAGATTGTCACGAACATCGGATTCACCCAGTCTTAGGTTGGACACGTCATCCCTCAGATTTGACACGTCATCCCTCAGATTTGACACCTCGTCTCTTATACTTGTAGAATCTTCTTTTAGATCTGTTTTCAGTTTTTCGATCAGGAGTTGCATTGCTTCTTCAAGGTTCCCAAATTCATCTTTTATGACTTGTCCAGTACCCTGGCCACCGCCACCACTTGGTTTCCTCCCTTTTGATTCAACTGCAATTAAACAGCCGAGGCAAAGAATTGCCCAACCGTATGCTATGGAGCACTGCATGTTTATGATGATACGAAATAGTTTGAGTTTAATCAGAAAATGAAAAGAAATTTAAATTGACCATAATCAACAAATGTTGTAATGATTTACATTCCATAATGGGCCATTACTGAGAAAAAGGAATAACAAAAGTCTGTGGCAAAATATTGTCAGTGTTCCTTTTGTTAATGGAATGAAATATTGTTATTGCACACATTGAACATATTGAATTGATAACTTAAGCAAATGAGAAAGCTTAATGAATCTGACTACATGCTAACCAACATGTTAAAACCTCTAAACATCTTTCAGAAGGTCTCGAGATTTACAGATCACACAAAATTACATATGCTAAATTGCATGAATTGGAATCATATATCCTTTAGTTTGTACACTGTGCACAAGGTGTACAATTCGCTCTTTTCATACAAGTGACGATGATGCTGTCATTATAAAGTCATTTTCATGTGCAATATGTTTGGTGGGTCATATCACCGTGTGGTGTTTTTTCTTCCTACTAAAAGAGGTACATTGTATATGTCCACGTTTGGACTTTATTTACGCAACTTTAGTTATAAACGCCTGAAAATGTTCATATAACAATTTAAGTAACATAATATTTGGGTTGCACCAATGAAAAATGATTTATGATTTCAGTTTGTGATAACTTGATGCACAAGGGTGACAAGGCGTTGCAGTATGGCAAATGATGAAGTGGAAAATGTCGTGAGGGATCACCTTGAATGCTCGATTTGCTTTGAACAACTAAACATCCCTAAGTTGATTCCCGCATGTGGCCACACCATTTGTTGTGACTGCTTGAATAATTGGGCGAAGACCCGAGGAAAGGTGCAGTGTCCATGTCCGGAATGCAAAACACCATTCGACATGCCTGGAGGCGGAGCCCAAAATTTGATTACCAATTTCAAAATAATGAATTTACTGGAGGATTTGAACAAGAATAAGGCACCAGAGAAGGATCTCTGCGATCGTGGTGTTAAAGAACACTCGAGTGAGGTCAAGGAACGTGGCAAGATACAGATGCAAGGTAAAACTTTCCCTGGTTTAGAATCCATTACTACATTAGCAAACGGAAATCTAGTCACAGCGCATGGTAAGGACGGTATAAAGATAGTAGACGCCGACACACTCACAGTGAACAAGCACATTGATATAGAATGTGTACGGCTCACATCCATAGGTAATGAGGTCGTAGCAGTGGATCGGAAACCCGGCACCATAAGCATACTGAGCCATCAAGGTATCAAAGTTGGGTCCATAGATTGTGTGGAGGCTCCAGTGCAATGTGTAGCAGCAGCTCCAGCACAAGAGTTGGCAGTCTTACAGGGATGTCAACCAGCGTACAAATTACTATTCATCGATCTCACTACAAATACTACAAAATCCACGTGTAATCTGAAGAGTGATGGTAAAATGCCTTGGATGGCAATCACCTCTAGTAAAATAGCTGTCATTTCCTACTACAAAGATAGCATCGTTGTCGGTTATACCCAGAAGGGCGACATACTCTTCAAATATGACGCGCAAAATCTTACTCCAAGGGGGTTATGCATAGATCCGCTTGGGAACATCATTGTAGCTAGTTCCACCAATAATACTGTTCATCTTCTCAGCTCGACGGGAAAGTTCAAGAAGCTACTCGTCGATGATAATGATGGCATCAAAGAACCAATGAATGTCTCCTTAGACAAGCAACATAATCTAATTGTCGGATGTTGGGGAGGTGAACTGTATTATATCAAGTACTGTAGAGAAAATGAGGGTGTTATCTTAGAGTGTGACACCCTATAAGATTAAAAAACGTCATCTATGAATGAACAAAACTTATTTTCTAAGATATCCAAACTTTTCTGAAAAACATCAATTGTTATATTATTAGGTGTTTGAGTAGGATATTACTTCAGTATAATTTGAAATGCTTTATGGTCTTTTGAATTGTTATTTTGATTCCTTAATGGGGAGGCTTTGTCAGCCATTGTTTTTTTCTGCAGAATATCATAATTTGTATAAATTGGTGTTTGTTTTCTCTACTGTTGGTTGACCTTTTGATTCTCTTGGGCGTTCCCTTTTGCAACCTGTACACACATACTCTTCACGACTTGTTGCTTCATTATAAACATACAAAGAGTTCCTTTTGGCATTTAGTTTACGTAGTTTATTTTAGCATTTGTTTATTCCACAATAGTAATTAAAATTGCAGTAAATTGTACACAATGAAATATATAGTTTCTCCCTTTCTCTACACACATAGACACTCTACCACGTGGAAACAGCGGCTGTTCTGCTGGCCTAGGGGTGGGGGTGTAATTCATCCAGAAGATTAAAACTCATACACCTGTGTATATTGTCTCTTTTATTTTTTTTAGGTCAACTACATTTAATGCAAGTTTTAGAACAGCCAGATTTTATCTAAAATCAAAACAATCATGGGGTTTGTGTGTCTTAAGTGTATCATTCTCTCTGATGAAATATGCAAGAATGATATTATAACCAACCACGAGATGGTCTTTAACTTTTTTTAAGACTAACTCATGATACACATGATGTTTATAGGGGATATGATATATATCCTATGACCAGGTATGTGATATGATTCTTATCCATAAATAGATATAATATCATCCAAGTAATCATTCGGTAAGAGAGTACAGCTTTTTAAAAATTTGCCAAATACATGATATTTTTCCAACGGTTAAAAAAATACCATTTTTTTTGTGACATGATATTTTGTGAATATCATAGTAATAGGCTGTAGAATAACAATGGATAGCAAATGGTCATCTCTGAGTAACATAGTACTTCTTTTATACAATAAATAATATATACAGATATATATAGCTTTATACAATTGAATACCACACTAAATAACAGAGGTTTCACTAAAAATATGAGCACCACTCTGCTCTGTTTTTACCCACGCTCGGTGGTGGTGGTGGTGAAACTTAAAATACATTATTGTTCTTGAAATTAAGTACAGTAAAACCTGTTTAAGTGGAACACCTTTGGTACCTCTGAAGTGTTCCACTTTGGAGGTGTTCCACTTATAGAGGTTCATCTAACATTAAGTCATGTCAGTTGGTTTTGGGATTCTGAAGTGTTTCACTATGGAGGGGTTTCACTTATAGAGGTTCATTTAACATTAAGTTGGTTGGTCTTGGGATTCTGAAGTGTTCCACTAACAGAGGTGTTTCACTTATAGAGGTTAATTTGACATTAGGTCAGTTGGTTTTGGGATTCTGAAGTGTTCCACTAACAGAGGTGTTTCACTTCTGGAGGTGTTCCGCTTTACATGTTTAACTGTATATGCACTTTATCTGACTGGAAAAATACACCCTTTCCCTTGTGAAGTAAACCTTACTCTTTATGCCTTGAAACCCTTCATTTGGACTTTCACCTTTGCCCTCCTTCAGCACTATCAAGACTCCAAGCCTTCCAGAAACTTATTAATGACTTCTAAAGTTGTTTCAGTTGGATCATAGTCTAATGGACGAGCATCATCGTCATTGTTTTGATCACGTATTTGATTCCACTGGTGTAAGATTGTCCCGTATTCTATGGCCTTTTGGGCATCCCCCAGGCTATGGTAGAGTCTCAAGAGCCCTCTATAGTCATATTCTAACCCACTGTATCCTGCACCAAACAGCTTACGACCTGAAATGATACCAAACATTAACATGCAAAATGTCACCATCTGCCATTTGTTACTGATGCCAAACACTAACCATTGTACACCAATCATCAAATACCAACAGTTTCATAAAGTGGCTTATAATGTTTTTTAACAAAGCCACTCATATTTATGTATTATTATCATTTGATTTATGGAAATGAAGTTAGGATAAAAAAAAATTGGCATTTCATACTAAGTAGAGAGGTTGAGTTTCACTTTTTTTAGAGAAATTGTATGTAAATGTGTAATACCCAAAAGTAAATGCAGACAATGCGATAACAATGAAAGAATACTTTGGAGAAATTTCCAAACCTAAAGGCATCATTTGGAGAGATTTAAGATTGAGTTAGGAAAGGCTTCACCATTGTATATTGTTTTTAACTGGGTGTGAAATTTGGGACAATGACATTGAATTTTGTACTCTGCCTAGAGTAAAAAATAAATGAAAACAAATAAAAAATCGTACCTATTGAAATTGACCGCAAATAGAGTTTTTCTGCCTTGTCATAGATTTTCATGTCATAATTGTATAGAGAAGCAAGATGGCCGACTGACAACGCAACTTCATAATCCTCTGGTCCCAAAAGGGATTCCTTGATGGCGATAGCTTTTAAGTGCATTTCCTCTGCCTCCTGGAATATATATAATATAACGAATAATAAGGATAACAAATCAATATATTTATTATATATAAAATATATTAGACAAATAAAACAATTTGATTAATTTACAATTATTTCAATGTATTTATATATCTTCTCCAGGTAATAGTACATGGATACATTTTTACGAAAACAAAAGATACAGTGGACACTATTGAAATTGGGATTTTGAGCATCTTTGAAAAACTAATTTTTCTTCGGTTTATCTCTGAGCAAGGCATTAAAAATTCTTCCCTGAATGAAATCCATATAAAAAATTACAGATAACGATTAATAATTAATTAATTAATAAGATTCAGTTCAAATGCACAGAGAAAAAAAATGAAAGTCAAACTGTCCTGAACTGTTGGACATTTTTAATAAGACTTACCTTATATTTATGCATCGATTGATACAATCGACCCAAATTCCCATAATGCTTTGCTGTCTGAACGTTGTTCTCACCGAATGCCTTTTTAGCCAGTGAAAGTGATGCATGGTGCAAATCGTGCGCTTCTTGTAATAATTGCTTTTCTACCTCCTTGTTTTGAGAGTCAATGGCAATCTCTTCTAAGATAAGAGCTGAAACGAGACAAACAGCGATAAATATCAAACTTGGAAGAGCAAAATGGCTACCATGTAATTTAGCCAGCATGCCTAAAACCTAATTAGATCTTGGCACTGGTCTGCTCTTGCATGTACATTTTCAGGTTGAAAAGAAGCAGTTCTACTAGAATTTTGATGACAAGATTTATGTAGCATTTAAGTGACCATTTTATGTGCTACTGTGTTCCTATGCAACAAGATGTAGCACAGTTACAAAATCTTTCCTATTACTATTAAGTGTTATCTTTTACTTTTACATAGATTACCATTGAGTGTTTATTATTAAGGGCTACCTTTTACTTTACATAGGTTTAGGTTGAGTGTTACCTTCAACTACTAAGTGTTACCTTTTACTTTAAACTGAGGGTTACCTTTTACTTTTACATATGTTTGAATTGAGTGTTACTTTTTCCTTTTACATACTTTTAAATTGAGTATTGCCTTTCCTTTTACTTACTTTTAAATTGAGTTTTGCCTTTCCTTTTACTTACTTTTAAATTGAGTGTTACCTTTCCTTTTACTTACATTTAAATTGTTACCTTTCCTTTTACATAGATTTAGATTGAGTATTATTTTTTACATGCATTTAGATTGAGTATTACCTTTTACTTTTGCATGCATTTAGATTGAGTATTACCTTTCCCTTTTTCATACTTTTAGATTGAGTATTACCTTTTACTTTTACATAGATTTAGATTGAGTATTACCTTTAACTTTACATGCATTTAGATTGAGTATTACCTTTAACTTTTGCATGCATTATGATTTAGATTGAGTATTACCTTTTACTTTACATGCATTTAGATTGAGTATTACCTTTTACTTTTGCATGCATTTAGATTGAGTATTACCTTTTACTTTTGCATGCATTTAGATTGAGTATTACCTTTTACTTTTGCATGCATTTAGATTGAGTATTACCTTTAACTTTGCATGCATTTAGATTGAGTATCACCTTTAACTTTACATGCATTTAGATTGAGTATTACCTTTCCTTTTACATAGATTTAGATTGAGTATTACCTTTTACTTTTACATGCATTTAGATTGAGTATTACCTTTAACTTTGCATGCATTTAGATTGAGTATTACCTTTAACTTTGCATGCATTTAGATTGAGTATCACCTTTAACTTTGCATGCATTTAGATTGAGTATCACCTTTAACTTTACATGCATTTAGATTGAGTATTACCTTTTACTTTTACATGTATTTAGATTGAGTATTACCTTTTACTTTTACATGCATTTAGATTGAGTATTACCTTTAACTTTACATGCATTTAGATTGAGTATAACCTTTTACTTTTGCATGCATTTAGATTGAGTATTACCTTTAACTTTACATGCATTTAGATTGAGTATTACCTTTTACTTTTGCATGCATTTAGATTGAGTATTACCTTTAACTTTTGCATGCATTATGATTTAGATTGAGTATTACCTTTAACTTTACATGCATTTAGATTGAGTATTACCTTTTACTTTTGCATGCATTTAGATTGAGTATTACCTTTTACTTTACATGCATTTAGATTGAGTATTACCTTTTACTTTTGCATGCATTTAGATTGAGTATTACCTTTTACTTTTGCATGCATTTAGATTGAGTATTACCTTTTACTTTTGCATGCATTTAGATTGAGTATTACCTTTAACTTTGCATGCATTTAGATTGAGTATCACCTTTAACTTTACATGCATTTAGATTGAGTATTACCTTTCCTTTTACATAGATTTAGATTGAGTATTACCTTTTACTTTTACATGCATTTAGATTGAGTATTACCTTTAACTTTGCATGCATTTAGATTGAGTATTACCTTTAACTTTGCATGCATTTAGATTGAGTATCACCTTTAACTTTGCATGCATTTAGATTGAGTATCACCTTTAACTTTACATGCATTTAGATTGAGTATTACCTTTTACTTTTACATGCATTTAGATTGAGTATTACCTTTTACTTTTACATGCATTTAGATTGAGTATTACCTTTAACTTTACATGCATTTAGATTGAGTATTACCTTTTACTTTTGCATGCATTTAGATTGAGTATTACCTTTAACTTTACATGCATTTAGATTGAGTATTACCTTTTACTTTTGCATGCATTTAGATTGAGTATTACCTTTAACTTTTGCATGCATTATAATTTAGATTGAGTATTACCTTTAACTTTACATGCATTTAGATTGAGTATTACCTTTTACTTTTGCATGCATTTAGATTGAGTATTACCTTTAACTTTTGCATGCATTATGATTTAGATTGAGTATTACCTTTTACTTTACATGCATTTAGATTGAGTATCACCTTTAACTTTTGCATGCATTATGATTTAGATTGAGTATTACCTTTTACTTTACATGCATTTAGATTGAGTATTACCTTTTACATGCATTTAGATTGAGTATTACCTTTTACATGCATTTAGATTGAGTATTACCATTTACATGCATTTAGATTGAGTATTACCTTTAACTTTACATGCATTTAGATTGAGTATTACCTTTAACTCTCTTTGAAGATGCCAACAGAAGGTGATCAGGAACAAGAATGTGTGTGATGATACATATGGCTTTCTCTGCATGGTCTCTGAAAAAAATCAATTTTGAAAACTGACTTTATTCAAACATACGAGGGGTGATCCAAAAGTCTTGGACGCCCTGCTCTAATTTTGTTGGTTTTTGATTAAATTACTTTAAACTTTCCAATAATAAAGGCCAACCCTCGTATGAAGGTAAATTTTCATATCAAATTGTGGGACCCCTAGTAAACATATGATAAACATTAGATATCAATATGAAAAATGTCACCACCCGCCATTTGATACAGACATCGATCACAGAACGCAGAACACTGTCTACAAAAAAGTAGTGGTGACATAAAAATTGTTGACGTAAAAATTGTAAATGGCTACAAAAGGTGTAACAATTGCCTGTTTTGAATGCTAATTACCCAATGCTAATGCTAAATGTAGGTATGGCAATATCAACACTATTTTGTGGTGTCATTTATAAATGAAAAAATTAAAAAAAATTCTTACTTGGCATCTGAGAATTTTCCAGAGCTATATTCATTAACATAGGTGGCGTAAGCGAGATCTTCATGCGCCACGGCAACATGGAGATTGTTCCCTCCAAACACACACTGGCGAATATCAAGGGCAGCTTGAAGAACCTGAAGAAAGATGGCACTATATGACATTCAAAGAAAAATTTCCCATAATGCATCAGAAGAAGCAGACAGTAAAATTTCAAATAATGATCAGCTCCTAGGATATAAAATCTTTGAGGTTATAAATTATCCATAGCAACCCTAATATGGTGTATCCTGTCCCCTTTTGTTTATCTATCTTTAATTATGGTGTGCCAGATGGCAATTTGTTGTGTGCCAAAACAATTACAGAAAATTTGGGAAATGACGACACATTCAATTGCATATATGACTAGTATTTTTAAATAAACATTTTCTGAACATACAGATGAAAAAGAACAGAAATACAATAATTGAAAATTTTCACCAACAAATGCCATTTGTTCTGAATCTAGTATTCATTTTTTACAAAAAAAATTCACAAAACATAGCTACTATTTTAGATTAAATGCTCTATTATATACCCAGAATACACCAAAATGCATACCCAAAATGCATCTGAGAAAGCTACCCATAATGCACCTGAGAAAGCAGAAGACAACTTACAGTAACTGCCTGTGATATGTGGTCAACATTCAGCAAGTAGAAGCCATAGTCCAGCAGGGCATCTGAATATTTGCTATGTTTAGGTCCAAAATGTTCCCTACAACAACAATATATATTCAATCAAAGCTTTATACTCTGAACTAAAAAAACATCTAGATCAACAATGTACTTTTCTTAACCTCACTAGGACCAATAGAAACATAAGCAGAGTACAGAATTCTAGTTTTTTTGCATTCATGAGATCCAAGGTGTTGCTGTTAATATGAATGCATGTCCTGTACTAGTTTTGTTTGGTTGGACACCATACATTAAGTAGATTCAATATGTTGACTTACTTGGAGATATGGACTGCATGTTTAATAAGCATTTCAGCCTTCTTGAACTCCCTCTTGACCACTGAGGCCTTTGCACTTTGTCTTAGGATATCCACCAAGGCCTACAAATAGAACACTGATGTTTAATAAGCATTTCAACCTTAAACTCCCTCTTGACCACTGAGGCCTTTGCACTTTGTCTTAGGATATCCACCAAGGCCTACAAATAGAACACTTATGTTTAATAAGCATTTCAGCCTTCTTGAACTCCCTCTTGACCACTGAGGCCTTTGCACTTTGTCTCAGAATATCCACCAAGGCCTAGAACACAAATACCAAGCTTGGATAAAAACACTACAATGCCTGCATTAACTCATTCAATACTGGGGCAAAAAGCACTAAAATACTGAAGAATTTTTGAAAATTCCTATATATGGTACCTATGAGATAATATATAAAATATATACATGGGCATAAATATGTAGTGTTATATATCATTTTAAAGCATATGATATACTCTATCAGAATCAATAAGTTTTTAAGTCCCATTTTATAGGTTGTCATGGTTACAAGATTCCAAAAAAATACATTGAGTTTGTGCTTGGACGTGATATCACGTCATTCGTAGTCAACGTATGTGCTTTATGACGTCATATCACGTCATTCGTAGCGAATGAGTTAAGTGACATAAGGAACACATTTGGCATAAAATTCATAATTATGTTGACCATCCTCAATGTTTTCCTTTTTTGTTAAAGAAAGTGCAAGCCTATATTTAAGTGCAAGTCTATATTTAAGTGCAAGCCTACATTCAAGTGCAAGCATATATTTAAGTGCAAGCTTATATTTAAGTGCAAGCCTATATTTAAGTGTAAGCCTATATTCAAGTGCAAGCCTACATTCAAGTGCGAGCGTATATTTAAGTGCAAGCCTATATTTAAGTACAAACCTATATTTAAGTGCAAGCCTATATTCAAGTACAAGCCTATTTTTAAGTGCAAGCCTATATTCAAGTGTGAGCCTATATTTAAGTGCAAGCCTATATTCAAGTGCAAGCCTATATTCAAGTGCGAGTGTATATTCAAGTGCAAGCCTATATTCAAGTACAAGCCTATATTTAAGTGCAAGCCTATATTCAAGTGCAAGCCTATATTTAAGTACAAGCCTATATTTAAGTGCAAGCCTATATTCAAGTGCAAGCCTACATTCAAATGCAAGCCTACATTCAAGTGCAAACCTATATTCAAGTGCAAGCTTACATTCAAGTGCAAGCCTATATTCAAGTGCAAGCCTATATTCAAGTGCAAACCTATATTCAAGTGCAAGCCTATATTCAAGTGCGAGCCAAAATTCAAGATTTTTGCGAACAACTGGATAGTGGATATATTTTAGATATACCTTACCTTTGGGGGAGGTATATTGTTTCTTATAGCCCGGAGAGCATTACAACATGAATTGAATGCCTGAAACAAATAAACAAATTCAATTTTTGATCTATCAAGAGTTGACTGTTAAAATCACAAATGAGCCTTTCAAGCTTTAATATTGTCAAAAACTGCTAATATGAACACTTTTGGCCATTCCAAATGTTGGTCAAAAATACAGGTTTTATAGCAATGTCATGAGAAAAAAAATCCTAAAATTGTTAGACTTTTTCAAAAATTACCTATACCCAGTGTTCTCCGCAGGATTTTTCTCAAGTAGGTGCAAAATTCTTTTTTTCACAATTCAGACCTAAATTAGCCAAAATATGACAATTTTTCATGAATTTTCTAATTTTCAAGTGGGTGCAAGTGGATTTTCAGAGGGGTGCAAGCCTGTTTTTAAAATCTCAGTGGGGTGCTCCATTCACTTGCTTTAATGCTGAGGAGATCACTGAATACCTTAAGGACTCCTACTGTAGCAAGCAGGTTTTACACTGAAGTTTCATGAATACAAAAAATGCTATAAATGTTTAATCAAATATAAAAAAAACTGTACCTGTACATAATGGCTCCTAGCGAACAGTAAAGCGCAATGTTCTGAATACAACAAAGCTTTGTTAACAGAGAACCCGTGATTCTCCATCTTGTCGACCACTTCCAAAGCCAACTTATGGATTTCTAGGGCTTCATCATATTTACAGTTGGCGTTATACACGTGTAACAGCCTTGAAAAAAATGTATTATCATTATTTTATATTTATTTCATTTGATTTATTTATATTTTCTGAAGAATATCAGCATCTTAAAAGAGTTTGGATATAACATACGTATTTTTGTACTGTATATTATAGATCTTTTTTTCATAAAGGTATAATTATTTGTCTAATAGATGTACTGTAATATGTCTCGACTGGTTGTTCAAATGTTTCCAAAATAGACAAGCATGATCTTCCTCTCCCAGTTATCATTTTACAAATGAAGGGGGTCAGGCTCATAACCAGGGAACGGAGGGGGGGGGGGTCTGGTTTGAAGTGAACTCCCCTTGACTGGCTATGGGTCTGGGGGTATTGAAGGCTTACCTCACACAACACTCCAGTGTTTTTGGCAAGTACTGGCTACCACTGACTAGTTTACATAACTGCAGACAGGACATAAAGACTTTCTCACTGTCCACAAACCACCCTGCATCACTCAGGAATACTCCTAAAAAATTTCAGTTTAAATGCTCTAAGTTTTGGATGGATTTTCAGTTTAAGTGTATTAAATTCTGGATGGATTTTCAGTTCAAAGCGCTTTAAATTCTGGATGAATTTTCAGTTAAATTGCATTAAATTCTGGAGTGGAATATAAGATTTTTCAGTGTGATGTAATGTAAAAGTTAAATAGTAAAAGTCTAGGTGCATTGATTCCAGAATTTCAGCTAACAATTTTCCCAAGGAAAAAACCATGTGACAAAACGAATCGTTTGGCAATCTGGAAAGACATGCAAATCTTATATAGGGTCCAGGAAACTGGGCATGTATAATGCATGTAGTTATTGTATGCTATTGTTTGTTGTCTATTGTTATTTATTGTCTGTTGTCTGCTTTCTCAGGTACAATCTTGGTATTCAAAATAAATGGCTTGGGTAGTCTTCCTATAATCCATTGAACCACCACTGGATAGATAAGGAGGGTGAAGTGACTTGAAGCAAATTCAATGATTACATACCAAGAGAGAATCCAAGTTGGACAACTTTATCACGAGTTACAGCATCAGTTTGGTTAGTCATGCAGCATCTCTGGCAGTATGCGTCAGACAATATCTCAGAAACTTTCACACCATGGTCCATTAATGCTTGGAAGCAGTGGTGCAGTAGATGCCTATTTTAAGAAAATATTTTCAAATTATTCAATTTTCCTTTTTACCTTTAAATCATTTTAAGTTTAGATGGTTACTCTTAGTGTTCTACTTGGAAGGTGTTCTATTAGGAAGTTGTTTCATTTGGAAGGTGTTCTATTTGGAAGGTGTTCCACTTACAGAGGTTCACGGAACTCTGAAAAGCATTCCAATTACAAGGGTAGGAGAGTTGTTTCACCTGTCCGATTTAACTTTTAGGATACAAATACAAGATAAAATCCAAGTTAATTGGCCATGAAGGATACATATCTGAAATCACATTTGAGAATGACTAATTGAAAACCCCTGGCTATGATCTTACCTTTTGTCATTTATTTTGAGAACTTTGGCAAAAACATCGAGTTCACTAAACTCAATTCCTAGTTGGCACAACCGACCCTTATTGTAAAGCTGGAATAAAAACAAACAACGTGCATGATGAAAATTTTTTGCAATTTTGAAGACTGCTCGATTTTCTATATATATCTATTTTTATCTATACATTTTAGAGAAAAAATAAACACCTCGGGATATATATCTCGGGGTTGGTCAGATACGATAATGACGTCATAGATGAAATATCTATGGGTTGGTCAGCAATGAATTAACATGCAAAATGCCAGTTTTGCAATATAATTTAAGAAAGCTTCCCGGGTTTTGTCTTTTGCAATTTCTGCATTGACTTTTTGTTCATTGTTATACATCATGTCATTGTCACAATGGCGTTGTCCATTAAAAAGCGAAAGTTCCAGCTGAATCTGTTTGCAATATTGTTCTAGGTAACAACATTTTGCATTCATAAAGCAGATCATGAACATTCTAACAATGAAAGATTTGTAGACAGATAGAAAATTGTAAACAAAGCAAATCATGAGTGGAAATTTAATTGAAAAAATTCATCAACATTTTGACTTCCATTAGGGAGGGGGTCGAGACCTAAGTAAAGTTATTACGTTCTTTGACAGACATCAATGTTTTGACCCGTCCCCTTAGGCTCTGGCTACTTACAGTACTTATAAATTGATAGTTTGTACTTTTTCATGTTGTTGCCTTGCAACAGAATGTGCAGAACCTGAGACATAACCAGAACCAAACAAGTAGAAATAGAAAGATGAAGATCTCAGCTATAAATTAAAAAATTCAGAATTTTTCCAATTTAGTGACGCAGCTTCGGAATTATTATTTGAGCCTATGAGATCCTAGCCTACTACAAAATGATCTGGCCAACATGAAGCAGAAAAAATCAAAAAAATCGTAAACAATTAAAAATATTTTGAGGAGCAATAACCGAGCGTTGGAACGTACTTTGTAGAATATATCGAATTGCACATTATCCGTGAGTGTCCTTAGTTCCTTTCTATACTTGTTATAGTGTGTTACTATGGAGGAAATCGCTGTATTATATAGAGAATCAGGGACCCATTCTAAGACAGCAGCCATGGTGGATCTTCGATGACGTCATTACCGATAACGAGGTTGAAGGAATTCGAGGGAATCCCTACCTCCCCACACCAAAATCTATCACATTCTTGTGTATTTCTCAGAGAATGGCTGCTACACAACAAGGGAAAGTTGTTCTTGTAACAGGTAATATGATTATCGCATACAGGGTCAAAATATTATCACAATATCTAATGTAATTAATGTGTGAAAAAACACATGGGATCTCAATTTTCAACTTAGAAATTTTGAATGTGTTATGAAACTTCACTTTCACTTTCAGTTTCACTGCAATCATTCTCTTGTCTTTTTCTTCATGGGGAAGAATTTAAATGTAGCCTACTAAGACAGTTTTATCTAGGTTTTTCACATAGAATTATTTTTACCCATACCACTCAATCAAGGATCAAGACTAGACTATTGATATTTTTCCAAATATATTTGCATGTCTTTATGATGATTATCCAGATGATTTGGTAAAAAAATCTTCAAATCCCAAGAAAACACCCTAAATGATATAGGAAAAAATTATTCATACCTCGAATGTAAGACCATCACCCCGGAATAGCCTGACAACAGTAAAGTCAGATACTGTTGTCACAAATGGTAGACATAACCGTCGCTTCAATTAGATTTTCATGAACTGTATGTTTAATAGAGCACCTAAACTAAATTCCTTTGGAACAACAATCAATCAGTGTCCTAATACTCATTGTACAGTTAATAGTGTTCTACCATCGAAATAAAGTCTTTATTTAACCGATCAAAATGAGATAAGGGACAATGGACATTGTAATTACCATATGACGTCGTCTTTCTAATTTACTCAAATTCAGATTCAGTTGTCATTGACGATATCAAAGACACTATATTGTGGCGATTCACGACCCAATTTCATCGAAAATGGGATTTCATATGATACATTATCATAAGAGCTTAATGCATGCACAAAATTAGCGACGATAAAATCCCATGAAATGAGGACACAGTGATTAAACAGTTGAAGCGACGGTTATGTCCGCCATTTGTGACAACGGTATCTGACTTTACCATAGTCAGGCTATTCCAGTGTGACCATTTCAAAATTCATGAAAACAGATGCGCTATGCATTATCTCTTTCAACTGAATTGTAGGTGCCAGTTCGGGTATAGGTGCTGGAACTGCTATTCATATGGCACGTCTTGGGTGTTCGCTGGCATTGACTGGAAGGAATGAAGAGAATCTTCTAAAAACAGTTAAAAAATGTGAAGAGGAAGGAATCCCAAAAGAGCAGGTAAATCTATATAGACACAAGGTTGACCTCTCTACTTATCTATAATCCAAACACATCTGGGATCAGATTTATAGCAGGTGTTCACATTTCAATGCAAACATTTGACTCAATGGGAGATATCAAATTTGGGACACATAAAATGTGTTCACATTGAGAGGTGTTTGGATTGGAGAGATGTTCACCGTATAGAGACGTAGTTTGTATTCACGAATGCAAATAGCGGTCTCCAGCTACCAGATTAACCTACAATGACAAAAGGAAAAACATTTGAAGTAAGACCCATAACATTTTTTTTCCTGAAAGGAAAAGCTGATTGCTCCAGGGTCTTTAAAGATACTTAATTTGGATGACCAAAATGAACTGAAACCAATGGATTGCGTGAGATTTTTTTAATGGAGAAATAACATGGGGAACACTTATCTTAAAGCAATTAAGTTTTTCTTTCAAGAACTATTTGATGCATCAAAATAAAGAATAGTAATGCATTAAACATTGTAAAAAATGATTGCATTTTTGGTGAAAATGAGGTCAGCATCTTTGAAAAAGTGTGTTGATGGGTTGATTGCTAGTTAATTATCTCCATGTTTGTTTGACTTTATTATCACTGTATATAATTTTCTTTGAGATAATGAATTGATCTAAAAGATAAACAAGTCTTCATTGTCAGAAATTAGTCATAATCCAAGATACAACCTGAAATTGTTTGCGATAACCTACGTGCTCCTTTAGAATAAAGAACCCCCTATTATCTTAGACTGCAATTTGTCAAGCGATTTTACAATTACAGATATTCACCATTATAGCCGACCTAGCTCACGAAGAAGAAACAAAAAAAGTTATGGAACAAACAATAGAAAAGTTTGGAAAATTGGATGTTTTGGTAAGTATCATTTAGAGTTCTTATTTTTCAGAATATGTCGTTTATTTTTCAAGATATTTCTCACATGGATTCCCCTCTTTGACAAATAAAGGGAGGGGCAAACCAGTTCTGTTAGTCTCTGCATAAGGTCAAGTCAAGTCTGGGTTAAGGTCACTGTATTAAACTAAAGAAGGGTATTTCATTTATTAGAAAATGCTTTACCAGATAAGAAATAGGTGATGTACAGAAATGTTCTGTGTAAATGTACAGAAATGTTCTGTGTAAATGTACTAAAATGTACCGTATAAATGTACTAAAATATACTGTATAAATGTAATAAAAATATTTCCTTCTGTACCCCTTTTAATGCTTTTGGCTTTTGCAATGTGTATTGCCCTCCATAGAATGAAATATTTGTTTTATTATATCATTGCTGGTCACATGGTGCTACATTGACCAATCAGAACATAGAGATTGCAACAAAGGTATAATAATACTGAATGTGTTCTATTTTCCCAGATCAACAATGCAGGAATAGTTGAGACGGGAACAATCGAGACACATACTCTAGAACAGTATGATAGAGTCATGAATATTAATACAAGGGCAGTGTTCTACCTCACCCAGCTTGCCATTCCACACCTGACCAAAACGAAGGGTACGTAAGGCTAGTGTTATTAAAAAATGTTTAGCGTATCTTGACACATTTTCACTCAGTACATAAAAATAAAATGCATGTATTTATCAAAATGAAAAATGAAATGAACAACAGGATATTTGGTCAAGCAGATGGTAGAAATGGCTAGTGTAATTAAACAATGTTTAGTGTATTTTCACAAATTTTTTACTCAGTACAAAAAATGAAATGTATGCATTTATCAAAATTAAAAATGAAATGAACAACAGGATATTTGGTCAAACAGATGGTAGAAATGGCTAGTGTAATTAAACAATGTTTAGTGTATTTTCACAAATTTTTTACTCAGTACAAAAAATGAAATGTATGTATTTATCAAAATTAAAAATGAAATGAACAACAGGATATTTGGTCAAAACAAAGGCTAGTGTTATTAGTAAAATTTTTAGCGTATCTTCACACATTTTAACTTGGAACATTTAAATGAAATGTGATAATTTCTACTAGAATGTACACAAGACATCCAGTTTACTTACGTTACCTCAAATAGTATGTCGCATCACTATATATTTCTAGGATTTGTGCATTTATAAAAATTGAAATAAAAATGCACATAGGATATGAATGTGCACGATTTGGCTGATTTAAATCAATTCTAGACTAAAAAAGGTTATTCCAAGGGTTAAAAGAATTGTGTATCTTTGACATGTCACAATTAAAATTCTGTTGATGCTGTAATTCTTTTCTCATTTATCAATGTTAAACATTTTGTTTTACAGGTTCCATAGTAAATGTCTCCAGCATTACAGGAAGTCGATCAGTAAGTACAATAAGTATCTCTCTCATGGGCGTAGCCAGAGGATGTGAATGTGATGGGTGCAATCGCAACCCTCCCCACCACCACAAAAAAGCAATTTTGTATAATTTGTTGAAAAAACATTAACACCATATACAATATAGATTTTAAAAACCCCATACCCCTCTTTTTGAGGCTTGCTTTGCCCACAGAGATTCAAACCCAAAAAATCACACCACCTTGACAATTGCTGGCTACACCCCTGTGCAAAATTTACTTTTTGAATTAATCTAAAACAGTTATGACACTCGAGAGTATACTCAATCAGGCGTGACAGCCCCACCATCTTAGTTTATTTATTGTAATCAGTAGTGCAACTAATGGAAAGGATTTTTGTGAATATTTAATTTGATGATTTTTCGCTAAAATGGTTCTAACTTTGGCAATACCTGTCCAATTTGAAAAAATTAGATTGAAAACATTTGTGTGTAACAAATCTAAGTTTTACTCATGTGATCAAATTGAACCCCACTTATTGTACATCGTTGCATTATACAGTATAATTGTAGTAAAATGGCAAAAACTTGTAAAAGATGAACAAGATCTGTAATACAAGGAGTGAATAATAAGTGGAACTGTTTTCTTTCAGTTTGCCGGAGTGCTTGGCTATTGCATGTCCAAGGCAGCTATAGACCAGTTCACTAGATGTACAGCACTAGGTAGGTATTTAAGGTAATTACAGTAAAACCTGTGTAAGTGGAACATCTTTGGTAACTCAAAATAGTGTTCAACCTGGAAAGTGTTCAACTTTCAAAGATTCATTTAACATTGAATCAATGGATAATTGCACTCTGAAGTGTTCCACTTCCACAGAGGTTTTCAACTTACAGAAGTGTTCCACCTTTTAATACACTCTAAAGTGTTCCACTTCCACAGAGGTGTTCAACTTACAGAGGTGTTCCACTTCACCATTTTTACTGTATACTGTAAAACCTGTCAAATCCGAACACCTCTGAGAAAAAAGTGTTTCAGGTAGCAGGTGTTACAAATATAATAAATATAATTTCGTTTTTACTTTTACCTCCTTTTATTCTCGCAAATCTTTCAAGTAGGAGCTAAAAATTGCAACAACCATTTTTAATTTCAACAATAATAACCTTAAAAAAGAGTAAATAGGTTATATAATAATATATCATCTTACGCTAATTTTTCTTTATTTTACTCATGGTGTCATGTGAAAATGCATGGTTCTTTCCAATAATAGATATCATGAAATTATATACATTATTATTTTTTTATTATTTATTTCCTTAAAAATATATTGATCCTGTCCCTAGCCTCTCTGAGCTTACTCGGATTTAGAATGAAATAACTTTTGATTTTCTTTTAGAAGATACCCTGAAGTGTAGGAATCCATAAGTTATTTTTTCAGGTTTGGGTAAAATCAATTTTTATGGCAGGTTATAGTGGCGCCATCTAGTGATTTTAAAGTTGCAGGGTGATAATCTTAATTAATTTTTTTTTCAGCCAAACCTAATTTCATATTTATTTTTTTGCTTTTTCCTTAGAGACTACTTCCTAAACTATGCATTTGAATTTTTAGGTGATCCTGGAAGGTCATTTGATGGGTCATTTTGCCTCAAATATACAGAAGCGCCACCTATAATCAAGGGTCTACCTTATAAAGTTTATTATTCTGAGGCTGTTATGGAAGATAAACTTGTTATTATTGGTGTAATAATTAGAACCATAAAGGGGACATATGATGCAGTATCAAATTAATATATGTGGGACATGGGAACTTAGAAAATTTTTTTTTTGTAAAAGTGGAAGAAATTTGACAAAATATCAGTATTTACATATTACCAAATACATATGCTTTTTTATTTCTAAGGTAAACCTAACATGATGTAACAAGTAGAAAAATATATATTTAGACAAGTTAAGCTTATGGTTGACAATTACGGTTATTAATGAATACATTATAGACAGAATGAAACCATGCATAAAAGGCGCCATCTATAGAAAATATATTTTTCTATAAGTTTCATTTGTTTGTAAATCATGTAAGATTTTTGAAGGCAAAGTAAGAAACATAGAGAACAATGACAAAATTGAAAGCAAAATGCGCTTTTAGCCTCCCCAAGTCTTCCTGACCATTTCAAATATTGTACCTCCTAATAGATACATGCTATTTTATGAAATAATATAACCATATTTCAGATTCAAAGTATATATATCTACAGCAAAACACTTGAACGTATTAACAGAAATACCTCTATTTTTTAATAAAGAATGCACTGCTTTGAATTTCTAGAAAATAGATGTGATTACGAATATGACATAAATATTTTTGAAAACTGCTCCCTGATCTGATTCTACCTAAATTCCAATTCGTTGTAAAATAAGAGACTAGAAAACAACTGTTACATTCAATTTGTTTTGTGATATTTGATTAAAACAGTTCATTTTATCAGCATAAAACATTAATTAATCATTGCCTCCAAAAGTTCACTCTCTTTTAAAAAGGGATTTTTACATTTATTTGTTTGTAAACTTGTGCATTTGCAGAATGATATGCAGTGTTGCCCACTCTGTTTGCATCCACATGATGCCTGGCTGCAAGTTTTGCATGTACATTGCTTTATCAAATCTTCAGGCCAAATCCTTATGTCCTGCTTTGGGATAAGAGAATCATTTGTGGGGTCCTTCATGTAGCCATATTGTAGGGGATCAAGTGTTACAGCTTCTTCATCTAGAACATGCTGGACTTGATATATGGCTAAGTGAGCTCGTTTTATGTGGTCTGTTAGTAGGTGTGATGTGGGTGGCAATGAGCTTATTTGAGCTGATTTTGAGTGATGGTACATCCAGTTCCTAAATTTATTCATGGTCATACATTTAGACCCAGATTTCAAAACTTGTACAAGAAACACTTCAGCTTTACTGCAATTTTCATCACTTAGGTTCTCCCCAAAGGTTGCTAAACCTTGAATGTATTCTGGTTTTACTTTCAATGCTGCAGGTTTTGTACCAACTTTACTTGTAACATCTGAACCAGTAAGGAAGTGAATTGCAGGTAAAGCTTTGCTTATATTCTCATCAACTCATTTTTAAATTGTGCCAATACAGTCTATCGCACACATAAAATATATAAGTATATGATATACCTTTTTCAAAATGATATAATTTTCTATAAAGTGATTTATATGCCTGGTGATGGAACATAATGAACGGAGGGTAATCAGCCCATTTTTGATAGAAAATTTAACAAGGCACAGTGTGAACAGAATCGCACCCTTGAATAGAATACAGTTTTTGTAACGGAACATCCAAAATGGCCACCCTAACCTTTACCCAGACTGCCTAAAAAACTAATCAGTTCTAAACTTTCATAGGTAGAAACATTCCTTAAAATTTCCAAAAAATCCATCAAATGGTTTGGCTGGAAACCTGTATACAAGATTATTCGGGACGCCAAAAAATCCAAAATGGCCACCTTACCCCTTATCAAGAATGCCCAAAAGCTTATCAGTTGGCCAGGAAATGCATATAGACAAAACTTTACAGACAAGATTTTAGGCAAAATCAAAATTGGCCGCCACAACATTTACCAAGAATGTCTAAAATTAATCAATTTAAGATTATTATATAACTAGACAACAGCAACGCCAAAGTGTAGCAAATCTCATCGAACAGCCATGGCTGCCAAAGTGTCATAAAACAGTGTGCCATGCTCAGAACGTAAAATAACACGTGTCAAAATGGCGGCCAAATTGTCATTAGACAGTGAACTATGCTTATGAGTATTCACATATCAAATATGAACAAAATCGCTCTATTACTTTTTGAGTTATAGTAAAGGACATAAAATAACACGTTTAAAAATGGCGGCCATTTTCAAAATGGCCGCCTTCTAGCCAAAGTGTCATAAAACAGTGTGTCATGCTAATAAGTAGTCACATACCAAATATGAACAAAATCGCTCCACTACTTTTCAAGTAATTGCAAAAATTGTAAAATAGCACGTAAAAGACGCCATTTTCATGTCTAGCTTGACTAATGTCCTATAGAACTTTTTACATTTAAAACACAAATGCTGTTACAGTTCTATACACTGTACCTAAATAACTGTCAAATCGGCACTAAAATTTTGAAACGAGCGGCCATTTTGAAAATCAGCTTTCGAGCATGACTTCTACCCCCATAGTGCACATGTATTGTTCAATTTTTTAGATGTTGATGTGTTTATGTTATATAATTAAGTTTTTATACAGGATGTCCCAAAAAAGTGCCACAAAATACATATATAATATATGTAGTTTTGTGGCATTTTTTGGGACACCCTATGTTTCAAAACATCATAAAGTTTTTGTAACACTAATTAAATATAGTCTGGTTTTGTTTCATACAAAATTCAGATATGGATTTTGAACTAATGGTTTCATGAAGAGAGTTATAAATATCATGGGATAAAAAGCTTATTTACTGAGAGGGATTCAATATGGGTTTATAATGTGAAAATATGGGCCCTCAGGAAATATCATATTGTCCCTTGGACGGAATAAACCCCATATTAAATCCCTCCCAGTTAAATGGAAAATTGTGCTGAAAGTTTTGCTTCGTTCAAAAATCTTTCAAAAATCGAGTGTTTCTAAGTACTTGGAAGCATCACAGATTTTATTTTCCTAGACACCAACTTACATTCTATATTAGAAATAATTTGAATCATTCTAAGTGATCATAATTTTAATTCTTCTATTTTGTCGAAGATGAGCAATCTTTATATCTTAAATAAACCTTAAGCTTACTTACTTTAATCACATTTTAATAATTTTGTTTCCACCAATTCAATACATGTTCATCTGTAGTCTCAAATATATACTAAATACAAAAACAGAGGTTAGTCAATAAGTCAATTATAGAGGATTACTGTTTTAAACAACCTTCATGCTAATAAGATGTAAATTACCCCAAAATTAGCTGCCATGGCTTTTAACAGGAGTTTCAGTTTTGAGTTTGATATTAACTTATGATGGTAAAAATATAATATAAAATTAGATCTAACTCCATTTGGGTGGGATAGATTGAAGGATCATTTTTTATTTGAAAAGTGTAGATACATCTTTTGAGAAGCTCTAATTTTATACAAAATGTTTCTAGCAAAAATTACCTGTAAAATAAAATATAATTTATTCTAAAAGTGCACACTTATGGAAATGATATGATTAATAGATGTTATACTCTATTAATACAAAGAAACTCAGGAAAAGCTTTTCATACATTCATTAAGTACCGTGTTGTATTTCCAGAAGTTGAGTCTTTGATATAATAAGGGGTGAATATCAAACACAGAATAATTAAATAATAATAATGGGCCAAAACCAAAATTCAGCCCTACAATTACTTCATTCATATTCTCAAAAATCAAAATGTATTTGTTTGTACTTGTTACATCATATAAGGATTACCTTAGAAATAAAAAAAGCATATGTATTTGGTAATATGTAAAAACTGATATTTTGTCAAATTTCTTCCACTTTTACAAAAAAAATTTTTTCTAAAGTTCCCATGTCCCACATATATTAATTTGATACTGCATCATATGTCCCCTTTATGGTTCTAATTATTACACCAATAATAACAATTTTATCTACCATAACAGCCTTAGAATAATATACTTTATAAGGTAGACCCTTGATTATAGGTGGCGCTTCTGTATATTTGAGGCAAAATGACCCATCAAATGACCTTCCAGGATCACCTAAAAATTCAAATGCATAGTTTAGGAAGTAGTCTCTAAGGAAAAAGCAAAAAAATAAATATGAAATTAGGTTTGGCTGAAAAAAAAATTAATTAAGATTATCACCCTGCAACTTTAAAATCACTAGATGGCGCCACTATAACCTGCCATAAAAATTGATTTTACCCAAACCTGGAAAAATAACTTATGGATTCCTACACTTCAGGGTATCTACTAAAAGAAAATCAAAAGTTATTTCATTCTAAATCCGAGTAAGCTCAGAGAGGCTAGGGACAGGACTATATGTATTATTTCATTTTCCAGAACTTGCACCTAAAGGAATACGAGTTAATGCAGTCAAGTAAGTACCAATTTATAAACTCCCAACCAATTTCAATGGTGATCCGCTCGATAACGCTGGTTACAGAAACGGTTCGTTTTGGTTACAAAATGTCAGAATGTCAAAGGTACAATTTTTCTTTTTTCCTTATTTCACGCATTGTAGGCAGAATCCCCACGACGTTTTTTGTCACAAATGTGTATCAGTATCATATGCCTTAGAAACGACTTGTGTGCAAAAAAATAGCTCAGAAGATAACAAAATCGTCGATTTAATTCCTCACTTAAGTTACATAAACAGTTTGGGTTAAAAGTGCAGACCTTTACTGTTTTTCGAAATACTGTTTATGTAACTTAAGTGAGGAATTAAATCGACGATTCTGTTGTCTTTTGAGCTATTTTTTCGCAAACAAGTACAAATATGTGCATTTTCTATAGCATATGATATTGATATACGTTTGTGATAAAAATGTCATGGGAATTCTGCCTTCAACATGTGAAATGAGGAAAAAAGATCAGTTTCGGTAACCAGCGTAATCAAGTGGATGACCAGTGAATTTACAAAGACTCCCTACCAATTTACAAAAACTCCCTAAAGATGATTCATCTGTTTAAATATCGAGAATATGATATTGGGTATCCCTAAAAAGTGAATCGCTTATTGACAAGTATTTTCTTCACAATAGATGGACCAAATTTAAATTTTTTTTTTTTTTTACTGAGTAACCATAGGGTTACTTGAATTTAGGATTTCTCTGGGAGTAACTACTCAGGATTACTATATTATAAAAGGTATTGCTCGCTAAAATATGGCGGTAACCATGATAACGTTACAAAAACTAATCATCAAAGCTTCAAATGATATCCAAATTGTTAATATATTTCCAGCCCTGGAGTTATCACGACAGAAATCCATAAAAGAGGAGGAATGAATGAAGAACAGTATCAACAGGTAGATATAGAGGTTATTTACTGTGAGGGATTCAATATGGGTTTTATTCTGAGGGAAAATATATTAAGAACAGTATTAACAGGTATTTAAACATTTACGAACCCTGAGGCTCAGAGACTTACAGTAAAATTCAACATTCTGAAAATTAGTTTTGGTACTTAATTGACAATAGCTTTTTGACCTTATTGAATTAACTTAAATGGCTCTGTACTGGAGTTTAAATATAAGATTATATGTTGATTTTTTCATGTCACCACCACAAGTGGTCACATATTGTTATCGTCTTCAACTTTTTAATGAATGGTGTTCAGTGGTTGGTGGTTGGTTTTGGTGGTCAGTGTGTGTAACAAATGGCAGGTGGTGACATTTTGCATGTTAATGCCTTGTATATGAATATGAAAATTATTGGCTTTTTGTTTGTTATTTTTCAGTTTCTTGAAAGGACCAAGACGACCCATGCATTGGGAAGACCAGGGGAGGTGAATGAAGTCGCACAAATGATCGTTTTCTTGGCGTTTGACACAGCATCATACATCACTGGGACAACCATTCCAATAGATGGCGGTAGACACGCTATGTGTCCCCGATAAAAGAGTAAATTGCATTGAATATCAGGGACGTATTATCATCACTATTTGGTGTATTGCCAGTAGCTCCTCATGACGTCTATACATGTGTTTCAGGGATTTCTAACTCTGTACAGAGTGTATACTCATGTATCTACTATAATCATGTAAACATGTCTCAATCATATATAAAGGCTCTTTACAATTACTCTTTACAATTAGTGTGTGTAAAGTGTTTATGGACACCCTGTAGATTTCTAAAAATATTGTCATATGAAAAAAAGAAAATTTGCCATTACTCAACAAGTGTAGCTCCATTGTACTGCCACTGAATAGTGAATTATGTGTTGTGTAAATCAGTTTACTCTGTCTCTTCATTTATTATGTTAATTGAGAGGTTAAGCTTTGCATATATAATCGAAACTGAACCTGTACGTATCACTCGACCATATACAAATTCATGTAGCCTTCTCATATAAATAGCCGTTCAAATCCAGTGTTTGTTTAGACTACACCATAGCGTGTAATGATTCTATAGTATGTCATTGATGCGGTTTTATAGCTGGTTTTCTAATACATATTTTAAACGAGCTCGTTTCGTAAGATTTTTGGCCCTAAATCATGCATGACATACATCATCGTGTTCAGCAAGAATTCAACTGTGCATCGAAATCAAAATTGACAGCATAGTGTTCAATAGACACGAGTAAAATGGTTCCCGTTGACCCAACGTCAAATTTCAAAATCTCCCGTTCTAAACCCGAAACTCTGAAGCTGAAAGAGTATCTGAAGTAGACTAAGCGCGCATAAAACTATGAGCGCTCGATACATTCCTTTGTTAATTTTTGTACTTTGCGTTCACGGTTACGTTGTGAAAAACATCGTTAGCTTAACCTCTCCATTAACACAGGTGATAACATCTTGTTATATAGTCTCCAACTCTTGTGCATGGTGTTCCACATTCAGCGATTGACATTGTGTTCAGTGGTCAGCATCTGTCACCAATGGCAGGTGGTGACATTTTGTATGTTAATGCATTGTTTATTTTTTCTTCCCTTGAATGAATGAATGTGCATAACGTTTCTTCCACTGCCAAAGACCATACATATCCTGATCCTTTGACCTTATACTGGTCTCCCAATGGACTGTATAAAATACAAAAATTAAAATCCACATTGTCTTGTTTTTAGCCCATTTTATTTATTTATTTTTCTTTTCTTGTACATGGCATTTACAGACATGCATCCGTTCTATTAGATTTCAACACAATCTGCCAATATACAGTCATCATGATATTATATTTCTAAAAATATTGTACACTGATAATCGTGTAACTATGTTCCTGACAAACATTGTATTTTTAATAATGAATAAATTTAATTATGAATAATCCACGTACATCAATGTTCTATTCATTCAGTGTTTTCCCATAGAAATAATAGTCCATATTTATGTTGTAATTACAATTTTTCGGTCAAAAATTCATTAATGAAATACTGTACTCCCGGTAATTTTTGCACGCAACTACATTTCGCGCTTTTCACGAGTGTTGGGAAATTCGCAAAATATAATAGCCGCAAAATTCCTCCAGTTTAAATTCACAAAATTCCTAGCGATTTCAATGTTGACAATATTTTTGTCCAGTGCTGGGTGATAATAGGTAAAAATGTGACATTTTGAAAAAAAGAAATTAGAAGAGAGATAGTTATTACTGTATTAAAATGAACATTCTAACGAAAAGGCTTAATAAGAAGCCAAAATCATTGGGTGAAGGAACAACCATGGCTGATATCAAAGTCGAAAGAGTGAACCTGTAATAATAGCCACGAAATTTCAAAAAACTGAAAATTAGCGAAATATAATAGCCGCGAAATTTCAAAATGCCAAAATTGCGAAATATAATAGCGTCAAATATTAGTGGGAGTACAGTACTTAAAATGCACAACTCAAAATGAGAAACATCATGCTCAGTTCATTCAGTGTTTTACCAACTAGGCCTATACAACTAGACTAGTACAGTAAAACCTGTGTAAGTGGAACATCTTTGGTAACTCAAAATAGTGTTCAGCTTGGAAAGTGTTCAACTTTCAGAGATTCATTTAACATTGAATCAATGGATAATTGCACTCTGAAGTGCTCCACTTCCACAGAGGTGTTCCACTTACAGAGGTGTTCCACTTGGCCATTTTTACTGTGCTTGTCAATTTGTAGTTTTAGCACTGTCTTTTAGGTCCGAAATTTATTTTAAATAATATTGAGGAATGTTTTTATTATTCAGCTTTCTGTTTCCTTTTTGATTTCCTCTGTTTTTTGTCGTAATCTGCTCTTTTCTCCGTCAATATTTTAGCCTGAAATTACACAAAATAATTTTCCATTAGTATTGTCGATTAATACATTCCTTCCAATTATACATTCCCCTTTCCAAACCGGAAGTTACTATGGTGAAGTGCTATGATGTATCATGTGACAGATTACCATGGCAACCCCTTTATTTGGAATTGGAGAGAAGCCACCTCTCTCCATGATCAGCTTCTAATCGGTCCCCTAAATCAGAGCATATCCATTGTGAAAAAAACTTTAGTTTGAAAATACTATTTTCAAAATTATTTTTCATGACATGAGTAGTGAGACATTTTCATTAAAACTTGACTTTTGAAAAACAGTTCCTTGTTGATGACTTTTCATCATCAAATAAATGGCAAGAATGTGAGAGTCCAAGTGCTTGATGCGATACATTTTTTGATTTTTCATCAGATTTTTCATCTATACATAAGACCATAAACTGCATTTCAACCTACAAACTTGTTGCAGATGTTGAAATACGATCGCTATATTCCACATGTTAAAATATGGAAAACATAGTTCTTTTGTTTAAATGACTTGGATTCTACCATATTTTCCATGTTTAAACAATAAAAATTTCATTATACCTCTTGAGCCATCTTTTTCTTTTTGTAGACTATTTTATTGTAAAGTCTCTTATTCTTTTTCGGTATCATCATTTCCGCTAGTTTCCGCTCTTCATCCGTCTGCTTTTTCAGCCTCTTTTCCACATCAACACTTTCCATCTGACCAGCTTCGACACTCATTCGCTGAAATAATAGAAACCACTAAATACTAATTTGGTGCTACTAATTTGACGATTTTGCCATTTTTGGAATATAGGTGGCTATTTATTTTGAGAACACTTGGGCCGGGACATTGCTGATACCACAACTTCCAGGGGATTTTTTCTTAACTTAGCGAAAGATGTTTTTTCTATTCAAATGAATAATCCAATTTCACGAAGGAAGTCACGTGACAGATTATATATAGGTGGTGAAAGACTTCAATGCCCTACTAGTAATGACATCATTTCAGAAACCCCACCTTTTTGGCTGATGATTTGTCTTCCTCTAGTTTCCGTTTGCCAAGTCTTTCTTTTATTTCATCTTCTTCCTCTTCATCATCATCTTCGTCTTCGTCACCAAATTCTTCATCTACAAATATTAAATTGTCTAAAATTGCCGCTAATGTTTTTTTTATAAAACTTTGGCAATCAATTGCATGTCTTCTATTGTTTACTAAAGGAATAAATTTATGTATAAAAAAAAATATATATATTAAATTGATGTATTTGTAGATTATCATCATTCAGGTTTTACAATTCAAATAAAAATCAATTCATTTATCCTAATATACATATACAAAAGCCGATTCATATATTCTGATAAAAATGCTCTCAATTTGTGATTTTTTTCACATATCCCATTCATTTTTTCAGGATATAAATTATGTAATTACACATACAATGCTAAAATATAATAGCTATATCTTAAATTGATTAAGAGATAAGGTTGCCATGGTAACCTGTATTAAGGGTAGGGAAGTCAATTAAATTATAACTTATAAAATATTTCAGATCTCCAAATCTTCTTTCAATTTGGTCAAAAATAGCCAAGAGAGGCCAAAATATGAAAATAAGGTTATTTCATTAAATAAAAGACACCGAAACATTTAGTTTCCCCACCTTCCTCATCCTCACCCTCTTCACTTTCACCCTCTTCACCATCCTCTTCATCCTGTTCAACATCCTCTTCCTCGTCACTAGATTCTGCATTGTCAATACCTGAAATTACATAAAACAAACAATCCTTATAAAATAATGTTCTATTTTTCTAAAAAGGATAAGTCAGGGAATGGGTCAGGATATCAACTTAGATATCTAGTTTCTATGAAGCTAACATACTGTAGTTTCTATCTAGCTAACATACTCTAGTTTCTATCTAGCTAACATACTCTAGTTTCTATCTAGCTAACATACTGTAGTTTCTATCTAGCTAACACACTCTGTTTCTATCTAGCTAACATACTGTAGTTTGACTAACATACTCTAGTTTCTATCAAGCTAACATACTTTGTTTCTATCTAGCTAACATACTCTAGTTTCTATCTAGCTAACATACTCTAGTTTCTATTTAGCTAACATACTGTAGTTTCTATCAAGCCAACATACTGTAGTTTATATCAAGCCAACATACTCTAGTTTCTATTTAACTTACATACTCTAGTTTCTATCTAGCTAACATACTCTAGTTTCTATCTAACTAACATACTCTAGTTTCTATGTAGCTAACATACTCTAGTTTCTATGTAGATAACATACTCTAGTTTCTATCTAGCCAACATACTCTAGTTTCTATCTAGCTAACAAACTGTAGTTCCTGTCTAGCTAACATACTGTAGTTTCTATCTAGCTAGTACTCTAGTTTATATCTGTTGTCTATCTAATGCCTCAGTCACATTAGATCAACGGCAACTGTACAGCGAACTTAGCTTCCCAATATCGAGAAATGTGCAGCATAAAATATAAGCAGTACGATGTAGGTATCGAATTTGTGATGCTACGGCCACTGTGAAGCAAATGGAAATGAGGCTTAACAACATACTCCAGTTTCCATCATCCAACAAACACTTGTCTCTAGATTCTATTTAGTAAACATACTCCAGTTTATTTTTTTCATCAAAAGAGGTCATGGCTTTTAAAGCCCCACTCTGCCAATAGAGGACACTGACATCAAATATTTTTGTGTCTTGATGCCTGCCTTTTGACGTCATAGATGGCGCCAGTGATACCATTATATTATGGGTTAAGGGCAATAATTACATGATAACCATCTTTTGGTCAGTTTTGTAACTCTTCCCATCAGATGATCTGATATCAAAGAACATGGGTGTAGCGCTATTTATAGGAGTTGTATGCCACCATGGGAACATCAGATGAGTGAAGCGAAAAACTAGCTTTGAGGGGGTCTGGAGTTGAGTTGTATTTGGAGTGTATTTGCAGCCATCTGGTATGCCTCTTTGTACCAGGCGTACCGGACGCTACACCTATGAAGAAGAATATGTCTCATGATATCAGAGCTTGGCCTCAGAATATCAATGTTAGTACTTGGTTATTCCACAAATGTTGATAATTAGACACAACCCCTTTTGGTCAATAGATAGTCAACACTAAAAGCTCTAAAAGCTTTAGTCAATAAGCAGAAGGCTGATTTAGAAATACAGATGGCAATGTACACACATTAAGTCATTCATAATGTATTTGTTCCCCCTGGAATAAAGTTAAAAAGGTCAACATTCAAAATAATACAAGAACAAATAGCTACAGTTTGGGCAGTAAGTAATTTCTGAGTTTCTTTGATTGAAAGCCCATGGTTTGCTGAATTGTGAATTTCCCATGGTAAAAAATAGGGAATTTTCAAGTGGCCCTAGATCAGTGGATGAGAGTATACAAAATGTAAATTAAATGAATTTTAGTGGATATGTATATTTATCACATGATTAGGAGTGTCTACGCATTTTGATTAGTCAATTGTGATGATGTATATTCCGTATCACATGACACGTGACTAATTTTCATGTGATACGGTGAGCTGTATCACTACGGAGTCAATAGCAACGATTTGACGTCACACTGATTATATCACTTCAAGCTAAGGAAAACAATATGACGTCATACTATTTCACAAAAAAGTACGAATACAACGGTATGACGTCATATTGTTTCAAAGCGAAATCAAAAATTATAATAGTTACCAGGAGTACAGAGTACTGAAAACAATCATAACTGACCAAATCAAAATGCCTCAAAATTCCTAGACATGTGATAAAATCGTCATCACACATTTCAGCTTATGTGATACATGAAATATTCCACTCGGGTAAGAATGTATCACCACTCAAGCTTCGCTTTCGTGGATGATACAGCATTACCTTTCGTGGAATATTTCCTGTATCACTTGCTGAAACGTGTGATAACTGATAGTATCCCCAATTTTTAAACCCATTATATGGTGGCATATTGCAAAATCAGACCCAAGAGTCTTAAAGTGTTGCAGAACTGTAATTAAATTGGTTATTGGTGAGGGAAATATTATGGTAAATGTTAACAAATGGACAAATGGTAGGACTTCGAATGTATGTAAAGTATGTAAGCTAGAACCTGAAACTCTGAGTCATATGATCCTTAGATGCCCTGGCCATTATGAGGAAAGGGATGCAGTCCTAAGGATTCTTAAATCTGTTGTTAATACAACACAGGATATCCCTAATGATACCATTTTGGGCTGGATATTTGGAGCCTGTGATGTATTTAATATACAGCAGTATAAAGAAATATCTGTATATATTCATAAAATTTACATAAATAGACCAGACCCTTGGCCTGGCATCACATAATACCATATTGTGTATATGTTTACCAATGTACATGTATCACTGTATATATTTTAATTTATCGATTATAAATTTTATATAAAAAATTAATGTATAACACATCAGAAATGGTGGATAAAATAAACAAATAAAAAAAAAAATCAAGACAATATTGGAAACTAAGAGGTTTACTCATTGAAGTGTCAATAGAGTAGAACTTGTATATTTGAACACCTCTCTAATCCAAAACACCTCTCAGTGTGAACACCTTTTCTCTGTCCCGATATTGTTTCCTCCCATTGACTGAAAAACTTGAAATGTGAACACCTGCTAATCTGAACACTTAAGGCCTGCACCAGTATAATTTGAATCAGACAGGTTATAATACACTGCCAGGGTTTGACTTAGTATGGCATTGACCTGATGCAAATTGACAAAGGCCAAACATTACCCAATAGCTCAATACAAATTGTAAATTACAAAGTAACACTTTCAGCATAGAGGGGTAGTCTCAAAATATTCATGAACCAACTATGTTCAAAATACTCATTTTGACAATTCTAACTAATGTTACCGACCTTAAAAACCTAAGCAGGTTCACTGGCCACCTAACCAACAAAAGGATGAATGTATTGAATAATTATAAAATATGAATGGTAATAGAACCAAAGAGATTCTAAATTTGAGACATCTCAAATGCATTGCACAATATTTGTTATACTGCTAGGATTACATTGAATATCTCTAAAATATCAATTAGGCCACTACAAGTTAATCTGTTAAGTGGAACACATTTTAGACAATAAGGGTCTTTCTTTTCATACGTATCCTAAAATTATGATTGCAAAATAAAAAAATTAATGTCCTAAAATCCTTAAAATAAAAGGGATAAAAATTTACCAGGAAGGATTTATATTATCATTTATGCACTGTTAAACAAACAATTACTTTATAATGCCTTAGACCTACAATACCATGTGAAATGAGTATACCCTTAACTAATGCACCTAGAGTATATAGATTCTGAGGATCAGGAAAAGATATGTACGGAACTACTTTCTTTACAAGTCTTGATAAAATAGAAAGAGAGATTAGTAGAAATATTTTGGACGATATTTAGTTCATATGACATTAAGATGTTAAAGGGCAGTGGGCTGTACAGATGCTGTTGTCTGATTTCTTGTCGGAAAATACTGTTGACATTCATTGTTTCACTTTTCACCATAGGAACTCTCATTAATGTTAGTATGCACGTAAGTCCAAATATGGTCATCAATGATAATCGTCAAGAAATCCTTGATTGCCTAACAACTGGATACTGGGTGGAGAAACGAGGGGCGACGCAAAGTTATCACAAAAAGGACCTTATTGAGTTTCTCGAAGGCACCAGGAGAACATACAGTTACTCGAGACCCAATCAGAGGTCAGATTCAAAATGTGGAAATGTGACAAACGGTTCAGTACTTCGAGCGCTATGTGACCCTGAAGGATCCACACCTTGTTGCTATAACAACAAATGTGTCGCTATGACAACCAAGGAGTGCAGGTGTCACCAAAAGTGTTTTGACATACGTCAGGAGCTTCATGCAGAATTCCATACATGGAAGCCAGTTTTTAATGATGTTTGCAGTTTTAAAATGCACACCACACATGAGGCCTGCAAGTTATTAACAGAGCGGGGAATCGGGTATATCTCAATAATAGGAGACTCTCTACAGAGGAACATATACTCTGCACTAGTCATGACATTATCAGAGGATAGATACATCACCACTGAATCAACAGAACCTCAGGGTAATACTTAACTCCCACTAGGCTGTCAACTGTTAAACCTCTTGAATCCCAGGCTCTAAAATCCATTTGAAATCAGAAATTTTTTCATTTTTGCCAGCTTTTGATATTTCACTATATAACAGGCGATGCTCAAATTAGTAAAATTGTTGGCAGGGATTATTTCTACACATTTTAAAACATATTTAGTGGATGTAATTGATTGAAAATATTTCAAATTTAAGCAGTTTTAATGAAAAACTTTGTGACAGATTATCTCATCACTCAAGGTCATTTCTTAGGCGACAAGAAATCTCAGCACTCTTGGTAGTCAAGATGCTTTAAATATTTATATCAAAACACCTTTCCAATAAATGCTGCCACCTTTTTTATTTCATGATTCATTATTTTCAAACATTAAATAACAGGGTCGGCACCAGATGTCTCTAATAACAGGATATACCAGTGCATGTATCAAAATCATAATTTTAAAATACTTTGGGGTCATGTCTTTCCTTGTCATGTCTATTTTCTAAAAAAAAAACCTAACTAAAGCTTTTACAATAATGTATTTGTTTTTCTATAAATATGGTTACCATTTTTGTGATTTGGTAGAATTTACACATTTTTTCACCATTTTGGACAATAGTAACATATTACTGAACTTTTGGGAGATATTATATTTGAGACTGCAAAATACATATTGGTAGATACATGCTGCTTGCAAAATACTCATTACTTCCCTAATGGATCTGATTCTCTCTTTAAAATGTACCAAATATACTCAACATGAAATTTATTATTTCAGAGATAAGAGAAAGGTGCTCACGGATGGGACATTTTTCCGAAAAGGACTGCAACATTCACCACCTGAAAAATAACTTCCATCATGGATTCGTCTGTGGCGGGGCCATCCATACTCAGTTTACTTACATACACAAGGTGTACAAGCTCCCATACGCCATTTTAGAGGTTATCAAATTGTGGATATGGGAGGACTATTACAAAAATTCCATTTTTCTATTCAGCATAGGGATTCATGAAGATTTCAGTGTAAATTATGTCATTGATTATTTTATTCAACCATTATGTGCATTCATTAATAGCCTTTGTGAGCAGGGCTGGTTGAAAGTCTTGTGGGTTACCCCCCATTTACCCGGGGTCCTAAAACCACCATTTCACCTTAATCAACAAACAGATGGAGTCAAAAGTTATGTCGAAAAGACAAATCAGGTTGTTAGAAAATCGGGTATTCCAATTCTTAATACTCACAATCTGACTGCAGATGTGTTTAGCTGGGATGGTACACATTATGGACTAGGCCTAAATGAAGTACTTGGGAACATTGTCATAAACTATGTGAAGGCAATTAAAAGCTAATTTCTAAGTAAAAAAGGGGGATTTTGTCAGGTTTTGTTTATCAATTATGTTCTTCAAATGCCTTATTTTTGTGCAACCAAGGAATACAAGCAGGTTTAAAGAAATCCAACAAATAAGTTCAATAGAAGCAACAGGGTGTTGTGTTACACTATGTGATAGAGTACTGCACCATTGATACACCATTGATACACCATTGATACACCATTGATCCTTTTCCAACAAACACTATAGCTGAAGCTTAGCAACTGTGTCAACTCTAAACCTTCTATCAAATATGTTTTTGAGAGGACCATACACAAAGAGCTGAAATCACTGAGTGTCAATATGGATAAGTCAAACCCCCATTTTACTGACATGGTCCCTACTCTGAAATGCCAGAAATCACTGAGATGGTGGCAGGTTATATAATGAGATGGCAGGTTATATAAACAGCAATTATAACCACCTAAAAACAAAATCATAGAGGATATAATATAGATAAGTCTGTATCACAGAGGATAATATAGATAAGTCTGTATCACAGAGGATAATATAGATAAGTCTGTATCACAGAGGATAATATAGATAAGTCTGTATCACAGAGGATAATATAGACAAGTCTGTATCACAGAGGGTAATATAGATAAGTCTGTATCATAGAGGATAATATAGATAAGTCTGTATCACAGAGGATAATATAGATAAGTCTGTATCACAGAGGATAATATAGATAAGTCTGTATCACAGAGGATAATATAGACAAGTCTGTATCACAGAGGATAATATAGATAAGTCTGTATCACAGAGGGTAATATAGATAAGTCTGTATCACAGAGGATAATATAGATAAGTCTGTATCACAGAGGATAATATAGACAAGTCTGTATCACAGAGGGTAATATAGATAAGTCTGTATCACAGAGGATAATATAGATAAGTCTGTATCACAGAGGGTAATATAGATAAGTCTGTATTACAGAGGATAATATAGATAAGTCTGTATCACAGAGGATAATATAGATAAGTCTGTATCACAGAGGATAATATAGATAAGTCTGTATCACAGAGGATAATATAGATAAGTCTGTATCACAGAGGATAATATAGATAAGTCTGTATCACAGAGGATAATATAGACAAGTCTGTATCACAGAGGGTAATATAGATAAGTCTGTATCATAGAGGATAATATAGATAAGTCTGTATCACAGAGGGTAATATAGATAAGTCTGTATCACAGAGGATAATATAGATAGGTCTGTAACACAGAGGATAATATAGATAAGTCTCTATCACGGAGGATAATATAGATAAATATCTTTGTATATTACAAAGCATTTTAAACTTTCAGACATTCTAGTCAAGAAACCTAATAAAAATGTCTTTAATATAGTCAAGAAACCTAAAAATGTCTTTAACCTTTACCATGCTGCCTTATTTCAGCAAATATATCCCACGCAACTAGCTTATTTTTCAAAGAGTGCAAAAAATGATATACCTGGACTAAATAATTAATATCTCAATAACTACTGAATGAATCTGGATAAAATTTTCACAAAGGGAAGATACAGTGGCCTGGCTCATGAAAAAAATGTTCTCATGAATTTTTTCGTACATTAACACGACTGGGCATAAATATACCATGAATACTCCTCCGGAATCCGCCGCTCCGCCTCTTCGTCTGGTCAGAATCCAAATCTGAATTTGCAGCGATCGAATGTTCAATTTTTCAATTCAGAAAATATTCTAGTTTCTATTTTCGATGACCGTTATCGGCTTCCAAGAGCCTAAAGAGCTCGAAATCGTAATCTATTTCCTCCACATTTTCGTTGTGATCTTATTTGTCCACCATTTTGTACGATTCGTTCACTAAAAACGACTAAAACACTGTTTAAATTGTTGAATTGAGAATTATTTTTCGAAATATCGCCATTTCTAGGTCAACAGGAAGTCATGTTAGGCACTGAATAAATCTGGCAATCTAATTGGACAATACGAATGGCGCGAAAAAGTAAAGTTTTTAAAAGTTTGAAATCGGGCGTACGGGTCCGCCGGCAGTTGTGAGAGACATTTTAGTCTCGGCGGACGAGTCCGCCGGCAGCACGCTAAAGGTTAATATAGTCAAGAAACCTAAAAATGTCTTAAATATAGTCAAGAAACCTAAAAATGTCTTTAATATAGTCAAGAAACCTAAAAAATGTCTTTAATATAGTCAAGAAACCTAAAAATGTCTTAAATATAGTCAAGAAATCTAAAAATGTCTTAAATACAGTCAAGAAACCTAAAAATGTCTTTAATATGAATACTGTTGCTCATATTAAATAACTTTGTGTAGTTAAGAATGAATACATGTTGAGTTTCTGCACTTGGTGGTGCTGTTCAAATATACAAGTTTTAGTGTACCTATCTATTTACGTCCAGCCAATAACAACCAAATAAGGTGCCTTTAATAGAACAAACACTAATGGGATCACCAGCTTACCAGTTCGATTTTCCAAGATGTAGGATCACAATCAATAGCGAAACATTAAAGGAGTGAACAAGGAAATGGAATGACTGTTGTGTAAAGTAAGGTAGTGATTTTCTGGATCAAAGAATCTATGCTAAATATGGAATTAAAGATTTTAAAACATTTCAAAGGTAAAAGATGCTTCACAATTTTCATAGTTTTGATATTCCTGTTTATTCATATTGTGCTTTTTCTATGGACTACCCTGCTGGATCCTACAAACTGTTCAAATCTGGAAGCAACGCAGAAACATACCCATAAACAGGGGATTTTAGATTGTTTAGTAAACGGCACATGGACACCAATTGAAGAAATCACAATAAATGATAAAGAAAAATTACAGGAGTTTTTACATGCGGCTCAAACAGAGCACAAAATACCAATGAAACAACGTGCCGATAATAGATGTGGGAATGTCTCTGTTAACGACCAATCAGATTTCAGGGCACTATGCGACCCCGGCAGCTCTACACCATGTTGTCATAGCAACAGATGTGTTGACAAAGTGCCTGAAAAATGTACATGTGACGATTGTTTTGATATCCGTCAGAAACAACATGCGGAATTTTTGACATGGCAACCAAGAAACAAAAACTGCCTTATAAGGAAATATCACCAGAAGGATGCGTGTAAAGTCTTGAATGATCTCAAAATCGGACAAATCTCCATAATTGGAGATTCGCTTCAAAGAAACCTCTACTCAGTCTTGATGATGGTCCTGTCAGGAAACGACAAATATGCCGTAACCAGATCGGATCTACCTCAAGGTACAAGTCTAAAGCAATATCCGATAGTATTTAATATTTTATAAAGACTCTCTATATATACCCCCTTCATATGCTCTCTCCCCAATGCTATCTCCCCAAATGCTCATTCTCCCAATTGCTCCCTTCCCTAAAGCTCTCTCCCTCTCTCTCCAAGATACTGCCTTCCCCAAAGCTCTCTCTCCCCCAATGCTATCTCCCCACCTTCCTTTCTATCTCAGGCTAAGAGGGAATAAAAGGACATGAGGGTAAAGGGTCTTAGTTCAAGACTAGCTACTCATATGATCAGGATATTTCACTATTTGACACAAAATTGGGCTGTTGTGCACATTTACCCCCCCCCCCGCCGACCCCCTGGCTTTATATTAATGGTAATGCATTCTGATTGTGCATGAAGTTAATATCGTGAACTTTAGAAGATGCTCCAGTCAATTTAACATGTAATATATTGTGTTGTATAATATTGATGGTTGCTATTTACTGTTTAAAGTCAATTAACCAAAGCTGTAATATACTATAATAGGAAATAATATTAACCAAAAAAAAACATATACCATATTCTCTGTAATTAGTGCCCAGGGTCCTTAAAAAATTCAAAATACCTCCTTCAGACTATTCTAATTAGCGCCCATATATGAAAGAATTATAAAATCCCCAGGAACGTCATTTATGGAGAATTTATGTTATTTGCAACATCAGAATAGAGTTTGAGTACTCTGCGCGGAGAGTCTAGTTATAAACTACCGAAGACGAAGCTCTCTTTTAAGAAGTGAAGTCGACAAAGGCAAAGGGTAGAGTATGAGCATATCTTTCATGCCCGTAGCCAGGATTTGCCAAGGGGGGGTTCAGTTTTCAAAAATTTCCAGGGGGGGTTCACATTTGACAATTTTGGATTGCTAAAAACTGCATGATTTTGAAAGAATTTTTGGCCAGGGGGGCTTCGCCCGAACCCTGCGAACCCCCCCTGGCTACGGGCCTGTCTTTATAATAATGAAATGGATTGTTATTGGAGAGTTTAGATAAAGCTAGATCAAACTATAAAGAAATCTATTGTGAAATTTTATATGCAAACTGCCAAATATCAACAAAAAATTGGAGACTATAGCAATATGTCACCCCTTGTGATGAGATAAAATAAATGAAAAATAAAGGGTAATACTATGTTATATGAATTATTTTGTGCCCAATGGCAGCTAGTACATATAATTATCCTCTGATGACGATGATAAAAGAACTAAATCAAATTGCTGAAAAATAATCGCATACATATTTCAAATTAGCCCATGGCAAGTCTAACATGTCCTGATCAGTCATATAGCCTGGAACTATATTAGTGATCCATTTGCATGGCATTTGCATATACGGCAGGCCCGTAGCCAGGGGGGGGGGGGGTTCGATGGGTTCAAGAACCCACCCTCCTGGCCAAAATATCTTTCAAAATCATGCAGTTTTTCACCATTCTGAGCACTTTTTAAGTGATTATGGCCATTTTTGGACCAAAATTGTCACAAGTGAACCCCCCTGGAATTTTACAAAAAGTGAACCCCCCTTGGCAAATCCTGGCTATGGGCCTGTACGGGGAAGCAAATGTTAATTTAATGTGAGTTGTCTGCCTTATATCATGTGCTCTCAAGCGAATGGTATGCTACACTACAAACGTGAAAACATCATAATGAGCATTGCCTTATATTCTCTTTTATTCACAACTTTGTTAAATTCTGAGTTTTTTTATCTAATGCAAGGGGTCAATGAATAATATATATTGAAATGCTAGTTTGGTCAAAATTAGCATTTTTGGATAATTCAAAATTAAAGCCTACTTATTTATTACATAAAAGCTGTTAATATCCTGCAGAGCTGTCACACATACAGTATTCAACAAAGTTTGGTCTTGATTGTAAAATCTGATTTCCTGCCATAAATTTCAGTATACACTGTATCCTGTTTCGCTTCTCTATCTTAATATTCTACTGATTAAGGTGGTTGTGCACCCTGAGGCAAAAACAACTTCATGAGAAAGTGTATGTAGTTACATTAAAATGATCAACAACATAATATAGTGCTAAGGAATCAATGAATGATGGGACTTGGGCAGTTAGTTTGGGTATTTTTTGGTAATTTGAAGAAATCAAGAGCAAGGTTTCCAGATATTATAAAGGTGTTAATGAATTATGTGACTTGGTAAAAATTAGCATTTCTGAGTAATTAAAAATTTAAGTCCCTAAAAGAAATTAAGACCCCCCACTTATTTATTATAAAAGCTGCCAAGACAAATTATTTCATAAAATGTGTAAAAATTGAGCTACTTAACTAAAACTAATCTTATATTGTTATAGCCTTAATGAGGTATTACACTTTGACAAATTTTGATCCTTTTCCATATCAACATTATGCAATTTGTCTTGAAAAGCTGTGAAAAATAACAACACCTTTCCTTTGTTTACAAATCTTTTAATTACTTGGATTAATATGGTGCTAATTTATTTGGCGATTTTGCCGAGTTTCTTTTCAAGCTTTGACATTTTCAGGAAGGGTTTGTGTCCAGTTGTGTATGTTACATGTCACTATGAATTAAAAAAACACAGGGTTAATTAATACAAGTATTTGCCCTTTAGCAATGATGGATTTAAACGTTGTGGGTGAATGTAAATTACATTTTCATTAATGAGTAAATTTGAGCACAGATTGAAGCATATAAATAAACATTTAATTTGATTTCTTATTTAAGTTCTAAAAATGGTCTGTGTGTACTTCCAGAAATCAAAGAGAGATGCGCCGGGATGATGCACTTCTCCGACCATCCGTGTAATACAATATATCTACGCAGCAGTGGACTCGTGTGTAACAATACAGTGCAACTTAACTACAACTGTGTCCATGAAGTGTCGATTATCTCGCTGACAATATGGCAGATTTTCAAAATGTGGTGGACGCAGAGCTATTATGGTCGAAGCCTAATGATCCTCAGCATTGGTATGCACGAGAACTTCGATTACAAAACCGTAATCTCTCATTACATCAATCCAATCAAAAACATTCTAAACCTCTTTTCAGCTTCTTATTGGTCAGAAGTATTATGGGTAACGCCGCACTCACCCGGCATCCTAAAACCGCCAAAATTTAAAAGCCAACAAAAGGACCCAGTGTTAAGGTATATAGCATCTACAGGAAAGATCTTAGATGCTTCTGGGATAACTGTGTTGAACACGCAGGACCTCACAGAGTCGGTGTTTAGCTGGGATGGCACCCATTATGGCGTAGGCCTCAATGAAATGTTGCTCAATATTGTGTTCAGTTACTTGGAGAAAATAAATAAATGATCTTATAAAAAGAAGCAACTGCTGTTTGATTGATTGGTTGGTTGATTGATTGGTTGGTTGATTGGTTGTTTGGTTAGTTCAGGTGAGGCCGTGTGATACTACAGTTAATTAGCCAGCTCAACTTTATCCCATTGTCTCCTTAAGGAGAAGCCCCTCAGTTCACCCCCTCCCATTTACATTGTCTCCCGTATCTCCTTATTAGGTGTGGGCCTAAATACAGGTTTTAGAATTTACAGGTTTAACTGTATCTGTATTGATCGCATTTAGGGATGTACCAATTTATACATAACATTATGTTACTATTGATCTTGAGATTATTATTATTACATAAGATGGGTTATATAGATGTTAAATTTGCCTTAGAGCTTTGAAATCTCATTGAAGCTAATTAACCATTAAGGACTATATTTTGAACTGTTGTATGACATATTTGAAGTCTGTGCCCAATTTTCACAAAAGTTTTTTCAAGCATTACGCCTGTTTCAATATTTATTAGTACTTACACAGGTACACATTCAACATTTCCAGATAAGAATAACCATATAAGGAATACATAATACAATCCAGCAAATGCAAGTCGTCAAACATTACTCCAAACCATTATAAGTAAGGTCTCAATATTGTCTCAACTAACAACATAATATTTGCTGGGTATATTGAATGTCATTCGTAAATTTTTCAACAAACATCAGAGTTCTCCACGGGATTTTTTCTCAAGTGGGTGCAAAATTCTCATTTTCACAATTTAGACTGAAATAGGTCAAAATATGCACATTTTTCATGATTTTTCTCACTTTCAAGAGGGTGCAAGTGGATTTTCAGGTGGGTGCTAGCTTGTTTTCAAAATCTCAGGTGGGTGCTGCGCCCACTTGCTTTAATGCTGGGAGATCACCCAACATCCTAGAGCTCTACACAACCAATATAATTCGGCGCCGTTTCGGCATCGAAAACATTCGGCGCTGTTCCGGCACCATTTCGACACCGAAACCTTTCGACACCAAAATTTGTCACCGGACTAGTCAGTCCATTTGATGCTGAAACGGCACCGAAATTTGGCACCAAAACGGCGTCCAAAATCAGATTGCATTTTGGGGGTGTATAAGAGGTACTACACAAGTACACAAATGTTCAGGTTGCATATTACCAATAAAATGATTGCATGTAATGAATAATTATTGTGTACACGTACTTGGCAAACTTAGCATGTTAATCGCAAGTTAACAAATATAAATGACATCCATTATAAAGTTTCAAGAAATTTTCCCGTCACTCTAAATGACCACAAAACCTTGGATGATTGGTAACAAGCTACAGTGTATAATCAACATTCCAACTGAATTTCAAAAGATGTTTAATAAAAACCATTGCATATTCAATATCAAAGTGTAATATCGAAAGAATATGAGCATTTTTAACTGCAATTAAGTACACTTTTAAGAATGGATATATCTGTAAATAAAAAAACATTATTTAAAAGGATAGAACCTAGCACACCAAATATAGTACTTGCTAAATTTAACACTTGTTTATAAATATGAACATACATATTTGACAATGCAATGGAAAAAATATAAACTTTAACCCTCAATTTGTTGAAAAACTTATATTAGATGTCCTCTTAAAATACATTTGATGACTTTGTAATGCATCTTACTAAAATAAACATAAGTACTAAAAATAAGATAAATATTCGAATTAATGAACAAAATATACAAACAACAACTATAGAGTCTCTTTAGATGCATATAACAAAAGTTCAACTTGGTAAATAAATTCAATAATTTACAAATCAATATTTGAAAAATGAAGCAGAAAAAAATTTGAATTACTACACAACTGCCATCTATTTATCTACCTATAAAGCAATTCCTCAATTTATGAAATATGACAGAAACAGTAGTTCCTATTCTATTTGCCTATCAATATGTTCGTACAAGTGCCACAGGGAAAGGACCAAAAATTGTTACAGAATACAGCTACAAAAAGAAAACATCTTAGTGTATACCAGTCATAAGTTAAACAAACCCAACTATCCAAAGCCGATGTCATTATAAACTTACCCGAGTCTGTAGTTTCAACACCAAGCTGTTCTGGGGGAGCATAAACACCTTCAGTTTCCTCTACAAAAGGCGACAGATGAGGGGGAAGATCTGCGCCAATGAAATACTCCTCAACAGGAAGCAAGCGATGTGCGTTAACAGAATCGAACACCCACTGAGGTTGTATGTAAAACCTACAAGCGTAAATATTGTTTGTTTGTTTTTTATAATTTTTCATATATGTTAATTTTTCATCTTTTAAACTGTTTTTAAAGTTTTCTTTGCTTTACATGCAAGTGTAACAATACTAATGCAAGGTATTGTTACAAAGTATCATCACCTAGCAACTGTATCAACATTTCAACAGTTCCTGACACTTTGACAGCTATTAGCAGGCAGGATTAGCTAATGTTATCAATACGCCAGATGGAGTAGAAAAATATTGATTTTCATCAATAAAAATTGATGCCAATATTCTTCATCAATTATGATACAAATTGATATTTTTGTAATCTCAGAAGAAGGATAAGATATTGAAGTTTAATAATATGTGTGATTGAGTTGGTTTTTCAACAATACAATTTTCAATACATTGTATTTTCTAAGTCGATACCCAGACTCATCCTTTGAATTGTCTCTTAAAATATGTGCACATGATTTTCTTATGTGATGTTTAGTCACAAATAAATTACAGAATATACAGCAGATGTAACTGTCTAATTCGGTTCCCCAAATTCCATAAAAAATAAACACTGTCATCTTAAAGAATAAAATGACCACTTTGACTTAATTATGAAAATGAAATAGTGAAAATAAGATTGTTTCTCCTTGCATCAGTTCTAGTGCGAAATAATCAAGCATGCAACCTAAGTTGAAAGTGATGGGGTATGGCCTAATCATAAAATTACATGAGAGAGTCAGTATTTATATATATTTCCGATTCTAAAACACATGTACATCAAAATGGAAAAAAATCAGAAAATATTACAACCTTCAACAATTTGGGTTCGCTATCGCAGTTTTGGAAAAAATTGAAATACCCTTGGACCAAGGATGAAAATATTACAGCTTGAAGAAGAATTCACATAGATAGTAAATTAAATGCCTTTAAATATTATAAGAGGTGCATGCACCTGCTATAATTTGCATCATATTGTAAGCTGTATCCTTATCTTCAACAGTTCCTTCAGTGGTCTTACCATATAATTCCCCAATAAATGTATTAAGATATTAAAAGATACATTGATTTTGCTAAACATGAAATATTTATTACCTGGAGAGATACTGATTTGACATGGATGGCCTGTCAACGATGTGATGTGTGATTGTTTCATCATCCTCACTATAGGTGGAGCCAACTGCTAATGATTTTTCCCATGATACAACACCGCCAAAAGATCTGCATTTGAAAGAGAAAAAATCATGTTTTAAACAGGAAAACAATATGAGCATAACAAGCCATGGAATGACAATATGTAACAAGCGTAAAATGCTGATGCCAACCACAAATTAAAATGGAAACTAACTATCAATATAAAAGGCAGCTTCTATACTATATAGGAGAACTGTAGATGATAACATGAAGAAACACATACTTTCTAAATTCACAGATATAGCAAAGTGACTCTTAAATAAGTTCTTTTAAAAAAAGACTGCAAAATAAATTACAGCTTTGTTTTTTACTTTATATTCACTTATAAGTGTTCTTGGGTATAAAGATTCATGATGAATTTTACAGGGGTGTAGCCAGCTTTCAGTCAGGAAGGGTGCAATCGCCAAAATTTATTCGGTTTTTAGTCAGGGGGGCGGGGTGCGATTGTGGCATAAACAAGCCAAAAAATAAGATTTATTTTGAATTTTACAAAAATTGATGCAACTTCCTTCAAAATTGATCTAGAAGCTTCAAATAAAAAGCATTTTAAAGCTCTTTTCTTCTTCTTTCTCATGGCACCCATTGCACCCCCCTGGCTACGCCTATGATGTATAACCCCTGTGTAACCTGTGTAAGTGGAACACCTTTGGTACCTTTAAACAGAGTACCATTTTTGAGGTGTTCCACTGGAATTGGTCATGGAAATGTTCCACTTATGCAGGTTTTTCACTTCCAGAGGTGCTTCACTTTTCAGGTTTACTTTATATACAAGGGGTGTAATTTCAAAAGATTGGTTAAGATGTAGAAGTATTTGCTTAGGTCAAATTGCAAAAGGAGTTTAAACCCTTATATGGAGTTTATTCCATTAAAAAATGTCAGTTTTCATTTGTCAAAAACTGAATGAACTGACAAATGGATGGGGGAGGGGAGATTTCATAGACCTTAAACTTTATTCAGCTCATACTCAACTACTCAACTTATACATGCTCATACTCAATTACTCACCTTATACATACTCACTCATACTCAACCACTCACCTTATGATAAAGGTAAGACATTCCCTTGGAACTTCTCTGTTCAGGAAGAATTTCAAGCCTTTGAAAAGCTGTTGAAACTTTTTCATATTTTCTTGTTCCACTTTTGCTTTTTCTATCAGGTCAGGATCATCTGACTAAAATATAAATGTAAATAATGGTGTTATATACCTAAATAATGGTGTTATATACCTAAATAATGGTGTTATATTCCTAAATAATGGTGTTATATACCTAAATAATGGTGTAATATACCTAAATAATGGTGTTATATTCCTAAATAATGGTGTTATGTACCTAAATAATGGTGTTATATACCTAAATAATGGTGTTATATTCCTAAATAATGGTGTTATATACCTAAAATTACATCATAAGCCATAGGGACAGAGTCAATATAGAGGATTGGAAAAGTCTTCAAAATCCTATAAAACAAAAGGTGATGGTGTTCACCTCAAAAGCTTTTCTCAACTGGGATGCTCAATTGCTAATCGTATCTATTTTAGGTAAAATGTCTCACTTTCACAGTATTTGCAGGAAAGATACAAATTTTAACCCACATAAGGAATACCAGCTTACGACATTCGAAAAATAATCTAAACATCATGCAAAATGTCACCACCTGCTAGTTGTTACAATCGTCATTTGTTAAAGAGACCACGGACCACTCCAAACACGGACTGCCTATCACCAGACATCAAACAATGTCTACAAAAAGTTTGGAGACTGTAAAAATACATAAAAACTGCATGCAAATATGTAGAACTTACTAAAATTGCAGGGAACTCATCGGGTTGTGGGTCATCTGGTGCATCTCCCATCATTTGGAGTGTCTGTGTCAGTGCAGCTAGTTTCTAAAACATAACAGAGACACATCAATATTCAATGAAATGATGGACTGGGAAAAAGAGAAGCAATGTGACACGAATGGAATGTATGACAAAATTGAAAAGAATGAAAGAAAAGTGTGACATGAGGAAATGTGCAACATGAGAGTAATTGTGTGACATAAAAAAGGGGTGACATGAAAGGAAATGGGTGACATAAGTGGAAATGTGTGACATAAAAGGAAATGTGTGACATGAGAGGAATATCAGACATGAGGTGAAAAATATGAGAGGAATTGTGTGACATGAGATGAAATGGGTGACATGAAAGAAAAAAGTATGACATGAAAGAAAATGGGTGACATGAGTGGAAAAGTGTGACATGAGCAAATGTGTGACATGAGAGGAGAAGAGGCATATAGGTGTTTCATTTCAATCGAGTTAATCGAGAGTTGATGCAATCCAACAGCTGCAAAATTTAATTTAATCTGTAATAAGGCCATTTAAAGTTAATCATATGTTTCACAATATTGAAATGTATATATTTATTGTATATACATATTTATGATTGAAATATTGAATTTGGCGGCTACTTATTTGGCAGACTACAAGTACAGTATGTACGGAAGAAGGGTGTCCACTAAGACAGGTTTTACTGTTGTTTTCATTCTCTTAATCGTAGAAGGGGTGGGGTGATGTTAAACATACATTTAACTTGAATGGCATAAGCAGATTTTCCATGAATTTCAGATTTAATGATAAGACTGTGGCACTGTGACACCTTTTCAATCCTTCCTACCAGTTGCATGAAAGTTGGACAATTGGAAAGACTGTAAGTGCAATTAATTTTTTTATTTATTTTTTATTTATTTTTTATTTCTGTTTACTAAGTCATGTTACAAATACATTTTCAATGTTACAATTATAAGATAGTGTCACATATTTTCCAAAATAAATAGATTATTTGAGGGAAAACTTATAAGATAAATTCTAAGGAAATTTTTTCCGCAGTTTAATATTTAAAAAAAATGAGATAAACACGGCAAATTACAGATGTAAGACTGATTATTCATTATGTTTTTTAATTTGTTCTGCAATGATTGAGCTCTTCAAATGTGTATGTATGAGGAAGTGCAAATCATTGATTTATCTGTTGAAAGTTCCATTCCCATTTTAAGGTGAAAATAATTAAACTGAGGCCTTAACAAATTGAAGAGGGGACTCAAATTATTTTAATTGAATTATCTATCAAAATGCACCAAATTAAATCAAAACGCTAGTGTCAATATTTATTACCAAAAAGGCATATAACTGAAGACTGAAATGTGCAAAATCTTAATAAATGAAAAAAAACCATATATATCAAGCATAAATTTAATGATCCACACATTTTTTTTATTTTTTAAGAGCCATGTTAAAAATGGGACGATTTACCCTGGTCAGTAAGTCCTGTTAATTCTAAAACTTACCTCGGTCAATGCATCCTGTTCTGAACACATTTCTTTCTCCCCAATTGATGTATCAATAGAGCCAGGCAATTCCAGCTACAACAGATAGCAAAATGTATGATAAGTACATGTATTGTAGACTTCCTATGGCATAATAATTCTATATATTTCAAGGGGAGTGAATAGTCATCTTTACATATCCTATAAATATGATGGAATCAGTACAGGTTTTATGACAGATAATTGTTAGAATTCTTTATCTTATTATGATTGAGAGCTATCTGTAAAAGCATATCTTTTGGGAGTGTAGGTTGAGAGTTGTTTATATAAAATCTTTTGGCAGGTAGTAAAAGTTGAGGCTGTGTATTTAAATCCATACTTTTGATGGGAAGTGTAGTTTGAGAGATGTATACATCAAACCATACCTTTTTGAAGTAGTGTAGGCTGAGAGTTGTATCTACTGAACCATATATTTGGGGGGTAGTGTAGTGTGAGAGATGTATACATAAACCATACCTTTTTGGAGAAGTGTAGGCTAAGAGTTGTATATACTGAACCATACATTTGGGGGGTAGTGTAGTGTGAGAGATGTGTACATAAAACCATACCTTTTTGGAGTATTGTAGGCTGAGAGTTGTATCTACTGAACCATACATTTGGGGGGTAGTGTAGTATGAGAGATGTATACATCGAACTATATATTTTTGGAGTATTGTAGGCTGAGAGTTGTACCTACTGAACCATACATTTGGGGGGTAGTGTAGTGTGAGAGATGTGTACATAAAACCATACCTTTTTGGAGTATTGTAGGCTGAGAGTTGTATCTACTGAACCATACATTTGGGGGGTAGTGTTGTGTGAGAGATGTATACATCGAACTATATCTTTTTGGAGTATTGTAGGCTGAGAGTTGTATCTACTGAACCATACATTTGGGGGGTAGTGTAGTGTGAGAGATGTATATGTGACCGGGGGCAAGGTCGACGTGGGTTTATATTAGCAAAATAAGCACAAACGCAACAGTATATATGTTTATCAGTCAAATGGGTATATTCATTTCAATCACATCACAACAACGGGGAGTTGGAGTTCCCTGAAAGTACAAAAGGTACCATAATGTGTATCAACTGTAATACACGCAATACATATAAGCTACAATGGTACCAAAATATGTGTGAACTATAATACTCATACTACAAACTAACATTGTTCAGATGCTTTGAAGCTATAACCTTACATTATTCACTATTTAAAATACATGCAACTGGCATATAAAATACATCAACATACCCTCGTGGACTATTATACTAAGCGAGTCAGCGACTGAAGGTTGTCACAATATTGTGGGTCACTCAGTACTAGAAATATAACAAATGCCAAAATTGGAAAATGTAATGTTTGCCACTAAAGCAAATAACAAAATTACCAGATATCCTATTCACTAATACCACATAGACAAAATGTCCCATTAGAGTAAACATGAAGCCTAAAAGTATTTGAGCTCTTGCGAATATGACATTGACATCTTGAATTTACATCACATCCAATTATTACAAACTTACAAGTTTACTAAGTAAGATAAGGCTATGATAAAAAACTTACTAATGGTCCCTAGGGGATGAGGTTATGAGCCCACTGGCTAAGCATGGTACAGTAGATAACGTGTCACTCTACAATCAATAGAAACCAAAATGTACAGCCATGAAAGCTGGACACAAATTGGGCGTGACACATGGACTAAATATTACAAACAGGTTTACATTGAAGATGAAGCTAACAATTATTACTTCTCAACTAGTGTTTATAATATGGTCATTATAGTTGAAATAAGTAAGAAATGTATGCTATAAAATATTACAAAGTGGGAGACTTTGGACCATGACATTACAAAAATGTAAAAAATAGTACAATATTTACCCAGTTGTCCTGCTTGGACAGTCTCAGCCAGTGAACTGAGCTTTACAGATGAAAACTACAAATCACTGCCACAGCAGGGTTTGAAAATACATAGTCAATCCAAAAATACAATGGGCTAAAAATAGCTTGTACATAGAAAGTACCTATTGAAATAGAAAATTGAACCCTAAAGTGAGGTTGAGAACAGTTGTATGGCTCACTTAATTCACTAAATAACTTGTAAGCTAAACCTTAGTACAGGGTGTCTAACAAGCCTGTTACATCCACGCCCACATCGTGGTAATGCGTCCCGCATTAAAGAATACAATTGAAACTCTGACTGATATAACATGACTGACTGTTACTTACAAAATACAATATACAATCATCTGCACACTAATAGTAGCAGGTATAGTAATACAAAATACAATGCTTTACATAATGATACATGTAGCTCATACGAAATATAAAATCCGCTATACCTCATAAATATGAAATTTAAACACTGCAAGGCAAGTGTAGTTGTTACTTGTAAATATAAGGTATGGAATTATACCTCCCCTACAACCACGACCATAAAATAATTTAAAGGAAGAACCACAGATGCGGCGTGTATTAAATTGTTGGTCATAAGTATGACATAAGCAAATGTACATAACGAAATAGCATTACTTATAGTACTCAGCAGAACAAATTGTTATTCATAATAACAATATAACAGAATACTTGAACCGTTTAGCTTTTGTTCGCCAACCTTTGCGAACGTCTCGGAACAAACTCCCTAACTTCTTCAATAGTATCCATCTTCCGCAAGTACTCTGGTAACTTTTTGATCTCTCTTCTATGCACAGTTTTCAGCAGACCACTCTCTGATTGAAGAACAAATGTTTTGGAATCCTTAATGTCTTTCACAATATGAACCTCATCACCATACCCATCTTGGATCTTATTTCTTCCTTGAGGATGCTGTTTCACAATGACTTTATCATTGCAGTGGATTTCATCACTTTCATATGCATGTGTATCATGGAGCTTTTGTCTCCTGTCTGCTTCTTTGTGTATCTTTTGTGACGCCAATCTGTAAGACTGTTTCAAGTGGTCCCTGTGTTTATTAATCCAACTACTGGTTCCGCCTGTATCACCTTCACCTTCATCTTCATCAATGCCCTCAGTTCCAGAGATAATATCCAATGGTAGCTTTGGGTTACGTCCAAACATTAAAAAGAAAGGACTGTATCCAGTCGATGAATGTGGCGTGCAGTTGTACCTTGCGACTACGGCATCTATATATTCTGGCCACTTGAGTTTCTGTTCAGCTGACAAAGTTTTCAAAAGATTATGTAACGTCCTGTTAAATCTTTCTGCTTGGCCATTGCCTTCAGGGTGATAAGGGGTTGTGCGGGATTTGTCAATAGAGTATATTTTGCAGAGTTCACTGACAATTTTACTTTCAAAATTCCTGCCCTGGTCAGAGTGGATGCGAGATGGTATCCCATAATGGTTAAACCAGTTTTTAACAAGGGCTTTTGCAGTTGTTACAGCTTTTTGGTCTCTTGTAGGTATCGCCAATGTGTACTTTGTAAAAACATCAGTACAGATCAATACATTCTCCATGCCATTCGATGCCTTGTCCAATAGAGTGTAGTCGGTACATAGTAATTCATTGGGTTGTTTTGCCATAAGTCTACCCATTGATGTGTAAATGTTCTTGTATGGCACCTTCCCATGAACACAGCGATCACATGACCTGATCCATTCTTTGATGTCATTTTGTATGTTTGGCCAAAAGTATTTATTTTCAATCAATCTAAATGTTCTTTCGCAACCTTGATGTCCACTATTTTCATGTGTTTCTCTCAGGACTTTCTCTCGTATACATGTTGGCGTTACAACTTGGGTTATAGGAGACTGATTACTGTTTTTTATGGTTCTTATCAGTATTCCTTTTTTCAAGCTTAGTCGACTGAAATGTTTTAGTAAGCTTTTCTGGTCTTTTGAAAGCTGATTTTTCATAGCTGAACTTGGCATCTTTTTCTTCCTCACAAGTTTTTTGATAACTTTGATCTCTTCATCTTGATCTTGTAGTTCACCAAAACCAGATTCAGTTATTGTAGGGAATGGCGTAAAACTACCCGTGGTTGAAACATCTTCCTCAGCACTATGTTTGCAAGAAATATATTCACCACTGTCAACTACAGTTAAGACTGGACATGGTGTTTGTGCAGTGCATACATCAACAACTGGATCCACCAGATTTGGGATAAAGTCAGCTTCTTTAACTTCGGATGGAATAAATGTAGTATCTGTGCATCTTTCTATTGTGACTTGCATTGCACTTGTTATGAAATCTTCATCCCTATCCTCTTCTGTAGAGTTGTTTCTCAGTCTCGACAATGCATCTGCTGACTTATTCATGACACCAGCCTTGTATTTCAATTCAAAATTGAATGCAGCCAACTCTGAAACCCACCTTTGTTCCACTGCTGGGAGCTTTTTCACAGTCATGATATGTGTAAGGGGATTGTTGTCTGTATAAACAGTAACAAAAGATCCAAGGAGATAATCACGAAACTTTTCTGTCATGGCCCATTTCAGTCCAAGAAGCTCGAGCTTCATGCTAGAATAATTTCTAAGGTTCTTCTCAGCTTTCCTTAGAGCTCTGCTTGCACATGCTATTATTCGCTTGGTTCCTTGTTGCATCTGATAGAGAACAGCTCCAATCCCAACATGACTGCTGTCTACCTCTAGGATGTAAGGCTTTTTGAAGTCAGCAAAAGCCAGTATTGGTGCATTAATGATTTTATCTTTCAAAATGTTGAATGCACTCTGACATTTTGTGTCCCACAATTCCTTGATGGATACACTTTTGGATTTCCTTTTGCCAACTTTACCATTTCCGTTAAGGATTTCATGTAATGGACGGACAATCTTGGCGAAGTCTTTCACAAATCTTCTTGAGTAGCTTGTGTGACCAAGGAATCTTCGGAGATCTTTAACTGTTTCAGGAACGGGCCAGTTCTTCAGTACTTCTATTCTTGTCTCATCTGGTCTAATCCCATCCTTTGAGATCATATGGCCTAAGTAAGTGACCTCAGCCTTGAAGAAATTGCATTTCTCCCATTTCAGCTTCAAGGAATTTTGTCTCAATATTTGGAAAACATTCTCCAGCTTGGTAATATGATCATGAACACTGCTAGAGTAACAGATGATGTCATCTAAATATACTAGTACGCTTTTGAAAATTTCATTTTTGAAGACTGTTTGCATCAATCTTTGGTAAGTAGCAGGGCTATTTGTCAAACCAAATGCCATTCTTGGATATTCATATAATCCAAACGGTGTCGTGAAGGCAGTCTTAGGCACATCATTCTCAGCTACCTTGACCTGGTGGTAAGCATTATCTAAATCGCAGGTGGAAAATATCTTGGCATCTATGAGAGCATCCATCGATTCTTCTATACGTGGAAGTGGATAACTGTCTTTTATCGTGTTGTTGTTCAATTGTCGATAATCGACACAAAGGCGAAGACTTCCATTCTTTTTTCTAACCAACACGATAGGACTTGCGAACGGACTATTGCTGGGTTGAATGATCTTCTTATCCAGTAGTTTCTGTATATGCTCTTTTACTTCTTGGCACAAATGAGGTGGTATTCTCCTATATGGCTGTTTGACCTGTTTACTAGGATTGATTAAATGTATCTCATGTTCTACTGCATCTGTGTGTCCAAAGTCTTCATCATCTTGGGCAAATACAGACTGGTTTCTGTAGAACATTTCTCTTGTGATTTCTCTCTCAGCATCAGTTCCAGGGAATTCAGCTAGTCTTTCATCCACCAGTTTTATGAACTTTTCTGAAGTCTTTTCTGTTTCCTGGTGTGTAAGTTCGAAACAATTTTCTGCCTGGGAATAATGGACTGAATATGGGCTGCAAGTTTCTTTGGAGCTTTCAATTTTCCCAATTGGAGTTCGCTGGTTCAGTTTTACTCCAACCTTGGAAATGTTAGCAACTTTGACCCAATTCTCATCGTGTGTACCATCTATAACGCCAGGTGTTATTTGTACGTTGCCAGGTAATGGTTTATCTGTGGGTTCGACAATTCCTACATCACTAAAATGTCCTGTATTCACTTGTACATGAAGACATGTTCCTGGAGGAATAAATACTTCTTTGTCAACTCTCACAGTCTGTGTTCTGGTTTCGGACTGTTTTTCTTCCGATTTTGGGAGTCTGTACAGCTGCACATGTTGTAAGATATTACATCCAATTAGACAATCGGGCTTGGCACCATCCTGTCCATGGATAATAATTCCAACATCATTAATTAGTTGATTTTCAATTTGTACATCTGCTACCATAAAACCATCATAAGGAATTAACAGGTTGTTTGCAGCTCTTATTCTACACCACTTGTCACGTTGTAAAGTTTTATGAGAAAAGTGTTCATTGAAAAATTCCTTGGACATCAAAGTCACAGTACTGCCACTGTCAATTGTTACATTGACTGGAATATTGTCAATCATTATTTCTCTTGTTGGACTTTCTCCTATTAATTTGTTCATGTCTACATTCTTGATATGTGTGTTTTTATCATTACTTGTACTGGTCTTAATAGGAATTTCATGAGGATTTACATTGGTTGCATTATTCTGTACACTGTGGTCTTTTAAGCTTTCATCTCTGGTGCCACTGTCCAGAGAACTTGCTAGTTTTTTTGAACATTTGAGGAAGTATTTTCTTGGTTGCTGTTCCTCCAGTTACCAGAATTTCCATTATTCTGAGGGTAGTCTTGATAACCTTGATCTCTTTGCTGATAACGAGTTGTAACATTTCCACCTGGATATGTTCTGTTTCCATGTGATGTACCTCTACCCCTTGTGTCACCATAGCCTCTCTGAGCAAAGTCTCTATGGGGAAAATGCTGATTTGTATAGATCCTATTCTGGTCATAGTTGTTGCGAGTATCATCATGATTGTTGAACCCTCTACTATCACTGAAGTATCCTCTATCATTGAAACCTCCTTGGCTACTGGAACCTCCTCTGTTACTGAAGCCTCCTCTGTTACTGTAGCCTCCTCTGTTACTGTAGCCTCCTCTGTTACTGTAGCCTCCTCTGTTACTGTAGCCTCCTCTGTTATTGTAGCCTCCTCTGGTACTGAAGCCTCCTCTATTACTGAAGTCTCCTCTGTTACTGTAGCCATGGGGGTCTGTATCAAAGTATCCTGGTCCATGTTCTGGATGATTGTAACCTTGCTTCTGGGAGATGTAATTTGTCATAACATCCTTCTGAAATTCCTTTTGGATTTCCTCCTTCACTAATTCTTTCAACAAAGTACGATCAGATGTTATACTAGTAGGCGCTGAGTCAGCAGTGGTACAGTTTGAAGTTTGTAGAGTTTTCCTTACTTGGTCTTGTATAATATCCCTAATTGATGTATCTGTAGTAGTAGTGGACTGCCTATCATGCTTCTCCTCCATTATGAATGCCTCTTCGCGTAGAGTTGTGAATGATATAGCAGGTTGTTGTTTAAGTTTATCATACAACATTAGACGCATCACTTCTGATGAAACTCCATTGGCAAACTGAGTTTTGATAAGTCTATCTGTGTTGTCAATACACAAAAACTCGTCGTGGGAGTTCTGCAGCAGTTCCAGCTGTGTCATTAGTCTTTGACTGTAGGCTTTTATGTTCTCATCCTTGTTCTGCTTTGTGTTGAGGAATAGTTGAAGAGCAGAATGTTTAGTCTGTCTACTGCCATAAACTCTTTGAAGGGTGGTGAATATCTCATCAGGCTTTGCTATTTCACCAAGAAGCTTAGCTTCTTTCCGAGGCATTCCTTCTAAGTGTGAGAGTAGATAATCATACTGGTCTTCTTCAGGAATCTTCTTCAAGGCCCGTTTACAATCATCTACCCAGTCATATATATTTTGTTCTTTTCCAATGAATTTGTTGATCTTTGGCTCTTTGTAGTATTGTTTCACAGGTGCAACTGGTTTGGTTGTTGGAGTGGATGTATTGAAATTTCCAACTGTAGGAAGGACATCATTGTTTTTTCTGACTCGTGATATGTCTAAGAGGGTGGCATTTGCAGATATTCCTGTTGGTTGCTTAAGTTTCTCAGTTGTATTTCCATATATTGTATCTCGATCCCTATTCAATAAGTTGGCATAGTGTTGTTTCCTTTGTGTATGTTCTTGTTCTTTCTCTTTGATAAGGCGCTCCAGCTCGGATTTTCTGGTTTCATATTCTGCATATACGTCATCAATGGAGGCCAACAACTTCTGGTTTTCACGTTCGATATCGCCAAGACTCTCCCTGAGACGTTTGTTTTCTGTTTCCTTTAAGTGACGCTTGGTTACACCATTATTGATGTCCTCATCAGTAAATCTCAAGGAGTTATTTACATGTAGTACTTCAGACATTTTATCTATAAGTTCCTCAGCTGTCCTAGACTGTTGTTCCAACTCTTCATGAGACATGTAGTGCGCCATCTTGTGTTAATACTGAGTGGATATCCAACTCAACACTATGTAAAAAATCTTATTGTCAAATACCCTTGTGATCTAATAAAGATGTGCGTTATGGTATACCACCGTGTAATCTTATATACTAGTATAACACTAGCATGTAACAAATATGTGATAATACAATGTGCGTTTTAGCACACTACCGTGATATAAGATTGTGCGTTATAGCACCACGCCGTGTAGCAATAGGTACGAATATGTGACACCTTAATAACGTGCGTTGTTGCACAGCACTATGTAGTAATATATACACCTTTATGGTACCCTTATGATGTGCGTTTTTGCACAACACCGTGTGATAATATGTACACTAACAAACACTTATAGACTACCCTAGTAACGTGAGTTTTTGCACAACACCGTGTTGTAATATGTACACTTATAGAATACCCTTATAATGTGCGTTTTTGCACAACACCATGTGGGTAATATGTACACTTATAGAATACCCTTAAATGTGCATTTTTGCACAACACCATGTGGTAATTTGTACCCGTATATGTTATTCTCGGCCAATATTGTGTAATTATATAAGTATATATGTACCCTATCAAAAAGCTTTTGCTAGGATAATACCTTATAGATATAAACAAACACTAATATTTATTAAGGTAGTTATGTGTAGGATTGTACCCTAACAGATTTTGTAAGTTAGGATAATAATACCTGTACCCTAACAGATTTTGTAAGTTAGGATAATAATACCTTCTTTAATGACAACACAGTAGCAATATAGCAACAATAAACCCTAAACCTTAATTAAGTTTAGAAACCTGATAATTCTATGAAGACATAGTCTACTATATGTACATTGATTGTCACTTTATGTGACTGTCACTTTATGTGACACTTGAACAGTAATTGATTTAATAACTCCACTATAGATGGCATTTATTCTTCAGCCATTATCAACATAATATGCATGAGTTCTCCCAACACAATATAACTACATATGGACATCAGATTCAATTGCATAAGTTCACCTTTGTAAATACATGAACTGGAAAAAACGCTTGCTTTTAGAGCATATTTGATATTTATAGAACTGCCTAAACTATCTGAATCTGAATCTATAGTGACTATCTGACTGTCACTTTATCAAGCATTAATGGCTCAATATTAACACTACTTATATTATACACATTCATTTGTTGTGGTTTTAAACCTGTATACTGGCTAGTGGTACGTTGTAGCTTGCAAGTGGTTGTAGGTTGTAGGTTGATGCTGCCGCAAACACATCTGACACCAAATGTGACCGGGGGCAAGGTCGACGTGGGTTTATATTAGCAAAATAAGCACAAACGCAACAGTATATATGTTTATCAGTCAAATGGGTATATTCATTTCAATCACATCACAACAACGGGGAGTTGGAGTTCCCTGAAAGTACAAAAGGTACCATAATGTGTATCAACTGTAATACACGCAATACATATAAGCTACAATGGTACCAAAATATGTGTGAACTATAATACTCATACTACAAACTAACATTGTTCAGATGCTTTGAAGCTATAACCTTACATTATTCACTATTTAAAATACATGCAACTGGCATATAAAATACATCAACATACCCTCGTGGACTATTATACTAAGCGAGTCAGCGACTGAAGGTTGTCACAATATTGTGGGTCACTCAGTACTAGAAATATAACAAATGCCAAAATTGGAAAATGTAATGTTTGCCACTAAAGCAAATAACAAAATTACCAGATATCCTATTCACTAATACCACATAGACAAAATGTCCCATTAGAGTAAACATGAAGCCTAAAAGTATTTGAGCTCTTGCGAATATGACATTTCATCTTGAATTTACATCACATCCAATTATTACAAACTTACAAGTTTACTAAGTAAGATAAGGCTATGATAAAAAACTTACTAATGGTCCCTAGGGGATGAGGTTATGAGCCCACTGGCTAAGCATGGTACAGTAGATAACGTGTCACTCTACAATCAATAGAAACCAAAATGTACAGCCATGAAAGCTGGACACAAATTGGGCGTGACACATGGACTAAATATTACAAACAGGTTTACATTGAAGATGAAGCTAACAATTATTACTTCTCAACTAGTGTTTATAATATGGTCATTATAGTTGAAATAAGTAAGAAATGTATGCTATAAAATATTACAAAGTGGGAGACTTTGGACCATGACATTACAAAAATGTAAAAAATAGTACAATATTTACCCAGTTGTCCTGCTTGGACAGTCTCAGCCAGTGAACTGAGCTTTACAGATGAAAACTACAAATCACTGCCACAGCAGGGTTTGAAAATACATAGTCAATCCAAAAATACAATGGGCTAAAAATAGCTTGTACATAGAAAGTACCTATTGAAATAGAAAATTGAACCCTAAAGTGAGGTTGAGAACAGTTGTATGGCTCACTTAATTCACTAAATAACTTGTAAGCTAAACCTTAGTACAGGGTGTCTAACAAGCCTGTTACATATACATCGAACTATGACTTTTTGGAGTAGTGTAGGCTGAGAGTTGTATCTACTGAACGATACATTTGGGGGGTAGTGTAGTGTGAGAGATGTATACATCGAACTATACCTTTTTGGAGTAGTGTAGACTGAGAGTTGTATCTACTGAACCATACATTTGGGGGTAGTGTAAGTTGATAACTGAATATAAAGAAACATACTTTTGGGGGGTAGTGTAGTGTGAGAGATATACTTGAAACCATACTTTTGGCGGGTAGTGTAGTGTGAGAGATGTATACATCGAACTATACCTTTTTGAAGTAGTGTAGACTGAGAGTTGTATCTACTGAACCATACACTTGGGGGTAGTGTAAGTTGATAACTGAATATAAAGAAACATACTTTTGGGGGGTAGTGTAGTGTGAGAGATATACTTGAAACCATACTTTTGGCGGGTAGTGTAGTTTGAGACATTTAATTGAAACCATACCTTTGGGGGGTAGTGTAGACTGAGGGATGTATACAATCTGTAGTTGATAAAACCGAGCATTGTCGTGTAGAACTCCACAAATGTCGACATAATCTTATAATCAACATCTGTTGGATGCTAAAATAACAAAAAAGTTAATTTTACTTCATCTGTCTGGAAAATAATCACACGATGTTTAAAAATAAAACAGCAATGTGTAACGAGGCATTAACATGACAAAATGTCACCACCTTGTTGCTCACAATATTATGAGTTCAATTTTAAGTCAGATTTGAATTTCTGAGAACTTGTAGATGATTTTGAAAAAATAAATTGGTCAGTTTGAAGCAAGTTGATAAAAGACCCTTTTGACCCTGAGAAGGTCATTATAGGTGAAATCAGATTTGAACTTCTGAGAACTTGTAGATGATTTTGAAAAAAAATTGGTCAATTTGAAGCAAGATAAAAAAGACCTTTTTGACCTTGAGAATGTCATTAAAGGTCAAATCTTTTTTGACCTTGAGAATGTCATTGAAGGTCAAATATATAGTCAGATTTGAACTATTGAGAACTTGTAGATAATTTTGAAAAAAAATTGGTCAATTTCAGCAAGTTCAAAAAAGACAGATCGCCAACCACCAGCCGCCTTGAAAAAAAACAGAGACCATAACAACATGTCACCACTTTTTGGTGGTGGCATAATAAGCGAAGTCAGATGACCAGAAATGAACCCTTGATAGTTCATCTTTTTCAGGAAAGCAATAAACTTGATGAAGTTAGAAACACTTGATCTGAGTGAAAATGATTTTGGGGCAAGTGATTCGGGTTGGTCCTCATTGATTTTTTAGTCTCTGACCCCCACCCCTATCAGGCGGGGAGGGGGTACATTATAAAAAATTAATAAAAATGGTTTTAAAGTATATTTCTTTAAATGACTTTAAATTTTTTGAGAAATAAATTATTCAGATCATATGTTTCTACAACTCTGCCAAGTTTGTCGCTTTCCTGAAAAAGATGAACTATCATCCCCTAAATTCAATAACGAGACCATGGGTGAACATGAGAGAACAAATTTCAAAATCTTCTTTTTTTATTTAAAGAATACAAGAAAAACTTTTTGAAAATAAAGGAATGAGTATGTATAATGTAAAGATTGCTTCAGCTTAAACTTCAGCAAAACTATTTGAAATAAAACTTGAACCTTTTACACTTAATAGAAATGCTGATTGATTTTCTTGTCAAGTTAAGTAAAAGTCTAAACAAGGCATCAATTTGCAAAATGTCACGACGCGCCATTTGTTGCAGACAGTGACTGTTGTACACCAAACACAAATAAGTTAGAGAATATAGCAATATGTCACCGCTTCTGGTGGTGACACAATAATTTAGGGTATGTATAAAAATACAATTTTGATATAAGAAAAGGAGGAAATTGTACATGTACATCAAGTAACACAATATCTAAAATACAAAAAAAAATCTAAAAAACAAGACAAGAAAAATCTCCAAACAGTATGACACAATATATATAGCACAAGGCATAACCATGCAAAATGTATCCATCTGCCATTTGTTACAAACACCAACCACCGAACACCAACCACCAACTGTTGAACACCAATGGTTGAACATCAACCACTATAGTATTCTCCACCGGATTTTTTCTCAAGTGAGTGCAAAATTCTCATTTTCACAATTCAGACCAAAATTGGTCAAAATTTGCCAATTATTCATGATTTTTCTCATTTTCAAGTGGGTGCAAATGGATTTTCAGGTGGGTGCAAGCCTAATTTCAAAATCTCAGGTAAATGATGCACCAACATGCTTTAATGCTAGGGAAATCAATGCACCATACATCATCTACAAAAAAGACTATAACAATATGTCACCACTTGTGGTGGTGTCATAAAAATCAATTTACAGGACTTACATCATAAGCGTATTTGTGTGGTGCGACCCATGTGATGATCTGTCCCATGACTTCAGCTTGGTAGTAAACACCTTTGATGGAAATGAACACCTGGAAACATAGGTGCAAGTTAGGAATGTGTAAGGTAGTAAACACCTTTAATGGAAATGAACACATCTAAACAAAGGTACATGTTAGTAGGTCGTAGACACCTTTGATGGAAATGAACACATTTGAAAAAAGGTACATGTTAGTAGGTCGTAGACACCTTCGATGGAAATGAACACATTTAAACAAAGGTACATGTTACTAGGTTATAGAGACCTTGATGGAAATGAACACATTTAAACAAAGGTACATGTTAGTAGGTCGTAAACACCTTTGATAGAAATGAACACCTTTAAACAAAGGTACATGTTAGTAGGTCGTAAACACCTTTGATGGAAATGAACACATTTAAACAAAGGTACATGTTAGAAGGTCGTAGACACCTTGATGGAAATGAACACATTTAAACAAAGGGACATGTGAGTAGGTCGTAAACACCTTTGATAGAAATGAACACCTTTAAACAAAGGTTCATGTTAGTAATGTGTAAGGTAGTAGAAACCTTTGATGGAAATAAACATCTGTAAACATACATGCTTGTTAGTTAAATGTGTAATATTGGGGAGTGGGATAACAAAATAGAAGAGCTTTATATTATGCTCTTTTGATTGTAATGAACACCTGCAAATGTGGTAAGTAATGTAGAAGATAAGGGGGAGGGGGTAACAAAATGAAAGAGCTGCTCTCCAGCAGATTTCAATAAAATAAATTACCATAAATATTTCTAGCATTTTTCATTAGAATTCAATATGTAGAGAAGGATATGCTATTGGGCATAAACACTGAAATAAATAAATAAATATAAAGTACAATAAATATATTCATACCTTTCTTAAGGACTTAGAAGATATGATGTAATGCATGAACTCAACAGTCTGTATCTTGCAACGGTTTATCAATTCTACATGGGTTTTGCGTGACTTAGGGAACGTTGAAAATAGGAAGGCCATTGATAGACAATCGTCCATATCCCTTATCGCATCAATAAATGTGGGATACCTAAAATCAAAATACGAGACATAAAATGAATGTGTTCGGTCGAAAGCCTCTACTATTATTGGGACACCTCTAAAAGTGGAAGACTTTAAGAATATGTCATCACTTCTGGTGATGTCATAAAACCCACATACCTTTCTTTCACAATGTGGTCTAACTTGTACTTGGGTTTATTTTGCCTCAACCTTTCGGCTCTTTCATCGTCACCTTTATCACAGGCTCGCTTGATTTTTCGCAGGAACGACTGGAAGTGAAATATTTTAAATTTAATATTAACTTATCAGGATGTAATACAATCTCAATGTGCCTTTTCCAGATCTTGTTCTAATGTTCACAGTTACAGCTACCATAATTTTGAATGAAAACCTGAAAATATATTAAAAACAAAAAAAGCATGGAATAGGGGAGTATTGAATAAAATAGACATGCTGTCAAATTATGATGAATTTAAAAAATCATTAAAAATATAATTTAAAGAACAAAAAGAATTTTCCTCACCAAAAAAAGAAAAAATCACAGTCAGTAAATATACTAAATGTAAATAAAAAATCTTACTTTGAAATCTCTGAACTTGTTAACTATCGGCTCATGTAGAAGGAACTGTATATCCTTGAGATAGTAATAGGTCTTAGGTGCCGTACTTCCCTTGCCTACTGTCTTCTTGTGACGCGGCTCATGAGGATAAATACCCTTTATGATACACAAACGTCTGAAAATAATGTGAAGTTAGAATAACTCATTCATACTGTCATTGAAAATAGTTTTACAATTAAAGAGTATTAATGTTTTTTATGTACAATGTATATACTGTATATATAATTTTTCTATACTACATACATAGCAACCGATGTGCCATGTTATTGTGACCAATGTGTCATGTAATGGTGACTCATGTGTCATGTAATGGTGACCCATGTGTCATGTAAGAGTCAGAGAATGAAATTGCAGGCGATTCATTAGATTAGAATACATGTACCTGACAAAAATTAAAATAACAACAGACATAATTATAATTGGAAATGTAGGTTTAACTTTACACTTATTAAATTCCTCAAAACAGTGGATTCATCATTCATCACTGATAAAATATATCTTCCCCTGTATCATCATTGACCTCTCATTTATTTACCTGAAATCTGCCAATGAGAGCTGTAGTTTTCTAAGTGCCTGACTGCGGGAGATATATGCAGTAGCCGCACCACTCTCATACTGAAATATGCAGTTATAATAGTTATGTGCTAGAAAATAGGGGAAATACAGGGATTCGCCCCCAGAATGCAATCTCGGTATTTTCCAACAATGAAAATGTTTTTACTCTTGAAACATAAAATCTGGCTCTAAGATCATAATCAGCAATCAAAAAGATTTGAACTAACATCTTGATTACTTCTTGTGTTTTGAATTTTTTGGAAATGTAATAAGACCAAAACTTGCGATTCATTTTCTGAAAAAATGGTGACTGCAATTTTGAATTCAATAAATACAACATCTGTCAAGATTGAGCTTATAAAGGGTTTGTTTTGTGCAAAACTGGAAGATATAGACAATGTGGGGAAGGAGTGATTTTTGTTTGAAAAATAACATGTGACTCAATAAAGCAGATGCGGGTAGGTAGTTACCAGTTTCACCACCAGGTGGCTCGTTCGGATCAGATAACATGACGGGTATAGCAGAAAGTTCCCTTTAAATTAAATTACATTTGTTTTAGTGATTCAATTTTCATATAACCCTTATGTATCTAATAGTTATGCAAATTTAAATATGTCCAGTAAAAGAAAATGTTATCTGTCCAATTCAAGAAAAGATATTTCACTTTTTGAGAGTTTGTAACATTGGTTCTGTGGGGAATCAACCCGAACGAGAAATCAATCTTTCGAAAAAAAAGTTTTTTCAAAGTTGATAAACAATTTTCGAAACCATATTTCTAGATGTACTTTTATACTTTTACATATAGATTTCAAATATGACATACCCTTTGTATTCGTTTGACTTCAATTCTTAAAAGAGAGCTTCGTCTTCACTCTTTCAAACTAAAATAAACCTGTGAACTCACCGCGCCAATCAGTGTTCGTCGGCCAAATTTGACCGACGTTCTTTATATGGTCATCCCTTCTGACGTCATCGTTGAGCGCGGAATTGACCAATGACATGCGCATATTTAATTAGAACGCATTTGGCATATGTTTCTTCAAGCTCGCTGATTGGTGGAAGGTCAGCGCGTAGGTCAAAAGTGATTCACCAAAACTGTCAATGGTACCCGTCGTGGGGGCGGGGCTACTAAACTGTAATATGGTCTCTACTAGGCAGAGTGTAGTTTAACTAGACTCTGCACGCAGGGTAAATATGACATCACCATTTCTGATTTTTGAATATTTAATGACGTAAATCAAGATTGTGTCTACAGCCTGTTTCACTGCTTCAAAGGCAAGCAGTTGAACCTGAAAATTAAGAAATCTATAGACCATTGTGCCATAATATATAGCAAAATATATTCATATTGCATACGAATGACATTTTTATATTTCAGAGAATTAACATGGTAGAGAAGCATCAAAATATAAGAGGTTACAGAGTTTATGAGCCAATTTACAAGCAATCCATACAAATGTCATTCGTTTGCAATATGAATATATTTTTCTATATATTATTGCGCAATATTATTTAGATTTCTTATATTTCAGGTTTAAGGTTCAGCTGGAAAGTAACATTTTGGTAAAAAATTGCTATACCTGCACATGTCATTTTCTGGTACAAGATTAAGTATGAAGGCATGTGTGTATTTCCTTGCTTTTTTCAGGAAAGTATCATTACACTGTCTTCTTTTAAAATATCTGGAAACAGGTCAATGGTAGCTCCTGTGTTGTCTGGAAACTTTGAAAGAAAATTTGGAAAAATAGAAAGTGTGAAATATTAGTAATTAATAATTTCCTGGAGTTCTCATTGAACGCCTACCAGATATTCTAAAAGAAGACAATGTAATGATACTTTCCTGAAAAAAGCAAGGAAATTGACACATGCCTTCATACTTTATTTTGTACCAGAAAATAACATGTGCAGGTATAGCAATTTTTTACCAAAATGTTACTTTCCAGCTGTACCTTACTACTTTTTTCAAGGCCTGACTGCGTCGCTGACTTACCTTCTAAAGGTTAGAACCCGAATCTTAATGAAACCATATCACCTTTGTTGCGTCGATGATGATGCATAAACATAGCATTTGATAGAAATTAGCGTAAATGCTTTTCCGACTTTTTCATTTTTCAACAATGTTGACTTCCGGGAAGGCGTTGTAGTTATCACGAAATAACGCATTGACCCTTGAACTTTACTTTGTTGACGTGCAACCAAGCATGTCTGGTGTAAAAATTAAAAGAATATTAAGCAATGTTCTACATCTGCCAAGCTAAGTGAAGTAGTCAATATTTAAAATTACCAATTTCAAGTGAAGTACGCAACGAACGAAACTGCGTGATCTACACTCCCACTATTGGTCTGAATGAAATGCTACGTAGAAATATGAGCCGTCTGCTGTATTAGTCGATTAATAGAGTAAGACCTGTTGGTGATGCTTTATAATTTAGACCAAAACATTGAAGAACAAACGAACCTGTAAATCGTGAAAACAACGAACAAATATTCGGTTTTCACATATGTTCGGTAATTTTTCGTATTGAAACTTCCGGAACTTACAAGGAAATCATTCATTTTCTCGATCCATGATTTACCTCTTGGATGTTGTGGCAAATGCTCCATGGTTGACGGAACAAAGGTGATATGGTTTCATTAAGATTCGGGTTCTAACCTTTAGAAGGTAAGTCAGACTCCCAAACGTCAGCTAACTCTTATATTTAGCATGTTAGCGACGCAGTCAGGCCTTGAAAAAAGTAGTAACTGCTTGCCTTTGAAGCAGTGTAACAGACTGTACTCGCTTATCCCGTTCCCGGACTATAGTCCTGCACTGAGCGCATTCATTTGCCTGTACGATTACAACTTGGGAGAATTATCTACGCCCCTTACACTTAAGATACCTACCTCAATGCATTATAGAACTCAAGATGTAACTTCTAATATATTGGAACCGCCGATTGTCTGGGTATATCGGCAGAACGGGAACATTTCTCTTTTTCATCAAGAGAGATTCCATCACTTTTCAAAATGGCGGTTGGATTTAAAAGGGGAATCCCCCGTTTGGCTGTCCCGGATGTAGCCCGGAAGTACCAATATGGAGGAATTTGACGGTTGAAATAAGTTAAATGTTACACGCAAATATTGCGATCAAAAACGAAAATGTCTTCGTTCTGCCGATAAACCCAGACAATTGTGGATTCAACTACACGAAAAGAATGCTAAATTACCAAGGAATCTATTGAAGTAGGTATCTGAAGTGTAAGATGAGTAAAAAATTCTCCCATGTTGTAATCGCACAGGCAAAAGATTGAGATGTTCACAGGACCATAGTCCGGGAACGGGATAAGTACTCGCATCTAGTCTATTGAGGAATGCAGAAAATTTCCCATCATGCACCCTGACCATAATATTGGGGCTTAGTAACCGAATGATATGAGAGAAAAATGAGATTGCATTCTGCGAGCCAACCCTCCTTGGGGGAAATCTAACATTCAGAAGTAGGGGTGAGACGACAACCCGATGAGTCGAGGACTCGCGGGTTTGGGGCTTCGAGTCGAGGTGAATCGAGTCGAAGTTGATGAATCGAATCATTTTCGAGTTGAGAAAAAAATTCGAATAAATAAAAAAATTCAGAAAAATACTGTCAATATGCATGTTTTTACTCGATATTGCGTTGAATATATACGTTTCAATGACTTGGATATGCTTGTATTAAATTATTATATTGTATGTACACATAAATGAAAGAATATATGTAATAAAATCAGAATAAACTTACGACGAATTGTGTTTGTTTATATTTCCGGCTTTCCACCATTGACGCATTGAAAATACGAACGGTCAAAAGCGATGTTGTTCGCACTTCGCGCGACTCGAAACGGATTTGAAACTCGAATCGTCATTTTCTGACTCGAATCGGATTCGACTCGAAACGGATTTTTTCGACTCGTCTCACCCCTATTCAGAAGTCTATTTCTGAGTTTTGAGAAAATGTCAAGAGAAGGAAGGAAAATGCAAACTTTGAAGTTAGTGAAAACTATGATCGTCTACAAATTCGGCAACACTAGAAATGTGAATATGTACAAATCTTTAGATTACATTTAGGCTAGATTAGAAAAAAAAACGAAAAATAAAATCCACGTGTGGGCGATAATAGGTATGATAAATCAAATCTGTCTTCAAACGTCTAAGTCTTTCAGTATTTAACAGAAGTAACATGCCATTTTCAGTCTTCATGTATCGCTATAGCTATCTACATAATCATCAGTTACAAAAAACATTAAGTATTACTCGATACTTACCTTTTTCTTTTCTTTGCCCATTTTTAAAGATCTCAAAAGTAGGTCACACTGGAGGTAAATTGCGGATCCAAGAACAATAATGCGATTCGCTTATTCGTACACTTCTTTTTCACCATCTCTCTGCCTAAAGTAGATCGATAGTACAGATACAGATATATCAAATAATATTTTAATCAAGATTGATATTAAATAGATTAAAAAAGAATGGATATAATTGCTATTTATATTAGAAAATAGTACGAAACTTTTTAATAATAAAGTACACGTGGGTCTGACTGAAAGGCTTTCCCAAGAGAATTCAAAACAAACACTTGACGATCCAGTATAAAAATTACAAAAAGCTATATTATCGATTGTCAGGCTAAAACTTAGGTGTAGATTTATGGAAGGTGTATTATTAGGAAAACATGGTACAAATGACAACTAATTACGACTACTGCTAGACTTGTGAGTACAGATCAGATTTTGTAAATATTTATCCCAATATTTTCACGATTGTTTTTTTTTCTAGATCTATTATATTTTTGATATTACTTTTGTTTCATGATAAGCATAACTTTGTATACATATTACCAAGGAAAAAGTTACGTTTGTATTTCGGACTGAGATACAGCCGCTAGCTTGAATCTGAATAATGGAAATGTTGCAGGGTAGCCAGGATGAGGCAAGTTTGCCCCATTGACAGGTTTGGAAATATGTTTCGCCGTTTCCCTTTTCTTCCTGGCTACGTCACTATAATGAGCACATGTTTAGCATCTATTCTTTCCAGCTCGCTGATTGGTTGAGAAAAGGTAAGCTTGGTTAGTTCGAAATGATTTATGACACAGGCTATCATGGGAACCAAGTTCACCGGTCGTGGGGGCGGGGCTGCGAAACTGTAACATATAGTCTATAATACTCACTTGCGGATCCAGAAGCTAACAAGGGGGGGGGGGGGGCGAATTTCAAATCTTGGATATTTTTTCCAAGAATATAAACTTCCCTCTGACTAAGTAATACTGGCGGATCCAGGAGGGGGGGTGTCATGGGGCCCAGGCTCCCGCGGGGGTTTATTTTTACCACATTCAGCACCATCTATATTTTGCATGTTAAAGTCATGTAATTCAAAAATCTCAGATTTTTTAAGAAATTATGGTATCGATGTTGTAGGCCTTTATTTATCTATTTATTTCAGCTTCTGAAAAAGTCCCAATTTTGACGTATATCAAAATCTTATCTATAGATATAAACACCTAATCAAAACACCGTGAACTCTTCCTTTGTCCCTATTTGTAATCCTACAGATTTTTTGAGCCAATGTGACCACTGTGTAATGTTATTTTTCTAAATCTTCTGAAATACTCCCGATTCTGGAAAACAGTAAGACTTAGAAATGAACACCTCATAAATCTGAACACCTCTCAATGTGAACACTTTTTTTTGTCCTGATTTGTTTGATTTTTGATCATATGAGACCAAAGCATAATGTAACTTTTCTAAATCTTCTGAAATACTCCCAATTCTGGAATATAAGTAAAACCTGTATAAATATATGAGTAGCAATCACGTACTTAACCATGTTATACATGAAAAAGAAGTGATTAATGCTTTGAATAAGATTAATGCAAACAAGTCACCAGGTATAGATGGCCTACCTTCTAATATTATCAAAAATTGTAAGGACCTAGCTTTAGATTTTACTGCCCTTTTTAACTTTATATTTGATAAAGGAGACTATCCCGATGAATGGAGTATCGGTATGCTTTCCACTCTTTATAAACAAGGATCGCGTTTCAATCCAGATAATTATAGGGGAATAAATGTTCTTGCTTGCCTAGGTAATGTTTTTGACACAATCATCCAAACAAGACTTGTCTTTAATGCTGAAATGCTTAATATACAGGATCCTTTACAAGGGGCCTACAAATCTGGGCATCGTACAACAGACAATTTGTTTATTTTAAATACAATCATTTCACATTTTAAGAGGCAGAAAAAGCCTTTATTTTGTATAATGATAGATTTTAGGAAGGCATTTGATTATGTCAACCGGACAGCACTTCTTTATAAATTATGTAAGTCAGGTATTCAACCGAGTTCAAAAATGTTTAAGATTATTGATAGCATGTACCAAAAATCAAAATCTTGCCTCAAACTTAAAGATGGCATCACGCCAACCTATAAGACTGAAATTGGTGTCATGCAGGGCTCTGTACTCAGAACATACCTTTTCAACCATTTTTTGGATGACTTGAAAGATTATCTTCCATCTGAATATGGTGTAGAGTTTGAAAGTGTTTCTCTTAATCATTTAATCTGGGCAGATGACTTAATATTAATAGCTAACTCTACAACTGGTGCTCAATCAATGTTAGACTCTCTCTTTGATTTTTGTCGAAAATATCATCTTGTTGTCAACACTGTTAAAACAAAAGCTATTATTTTTAACTCTAAATCAGAGGAAAATTTTTAATTCAATAACGAAGTGATTGAATGTGTTGAAGATTACAAATATCTAGGGTGTATTTTTAACAGGAAAAGTAATTTTGATAAGCAAATAAGCTATCTTAAAGAAAAATCCAGAAAAGCTCTATTTAAAATAAAGCAACAACACCATAAGTTTAATGACATTCCTATATCCGTTGCATTACATTTATTTGATTCACTTGTCCAACCAATTCTGATGTATGGTTCAGAAATATGGACAAGTAAAAAACATATTAAGACAATTGAAACGATCCATCTTTCTTTTTTAAAAAACATTCTTGGTGTAAAAACATCAACTGCAACACTAGCAGTCTATGGGGAGCTGGGTCGTTTCCCTTTGAGTCTATGTTTTGATATTCAACTTATTAAATATTGGATAAGGCTTATAAAATTGTGTCCAGACAACATCCTTTATAAATCATATCTTTATGATTATGAAATGCACAGTTTGGGTTTTAAAAATACATGGTCTAGTAAAGTTTATAACATTTTAAAAGATTGCAATCTTCTTCTTAACTGGAATGAACAAATTGTTGACGATGATTTCACATTTATAAATGTTTTAACTAAGACATTGCACCAAAATTATAAGGACAAATGGAAGTGTGATTTACAATTATATCCAGTTCTGAGAACATATGTTAAATTTAAGACAACTTTTGAATTGGAGCAATATTTAAGCCTTCAGAACAAAAATCATAGGCAGTCCTTTACCCGATTACCCAGTTAAGTTCTCATAAACTTCAAATAGAGCTGGGTAGACATGTGAAACCACGGCCAAATCCTGAACATGAAAGAATGTGTAACGTTTGTGGAGAAATAGAGAATGAAATTCATTTCATGATGAATTGCCAAATACATCAAGAAAATAGAAAAGTATTGTTCGAGAACATCAACAGCAAAATTAAATTTGATGAATACCATCCTGAAAATGCATTCATAATGTTAATGTCCTCAAAAGATAAATATGTCCAAAAGCAAGTTGGCATTTTTATAAATAAAGCATTCAAGGTCATTGAACTTGTCTGAAGAACATTCTGGATGCATTACACTGCTTTAAGTATTATGTATAGTTAAATACATGTTAATAACATGTTTTTGTATATACTATATTTGTATAATAATAGTGTAGTGTAGTGTAGTATAATGTAGTGTAGTGTAGTAAGGTTTTATTTTTGTACTGACTAATATGTCATACCATGACATTCTAAGAGTCAATAAAAGATATATATATGAACACCTTTTGATGTGAACACTTTTTCGTGGTCCCAATTTACAATATCTTATATATTTTTTGATCATATATTTTTTATAGATTAAATAAATAGATAAATATAATTTTTATTTTTCAAATCCTCCAGTTCTGAAATACAACCAATTCTCGGGTACAGTGAAATCAATATGTCTAAACACCTCTCTAATCCGAACACCTGTCAAATTGAACACTTTTTCTTGGTCAAAATTTATAATCTTTATTTGAGATTTTTTGAGTGTATGGACACATAATTTTTTTTTCTTTTTGATTTTCAAAATCTTCAGCTTTTGAAATTATACTCCTGATTCTTGAGTATAGTAAAACCAATATATATGAACACTTCTCTAATCTTAACACTTTCCGTGTGAATCTTTCTTGGTCCCAATTTTGTAATATCCCATTGATTCACATATTAACTTATGAGAAACATTGAAAAGACACATTGAATATGGACACATAATTTTTTTTTCTTTTTGATTTTCAAAATCTTCAGCTTTTGAAATTATACTCCTGATTCTTGAGTATAGTAAAACCAATATATATGAACACTTCTCTAATCTGAACACTTTCCGTGTGAATCTTTCTTGGTCCCAATTTTGTAATATCCCATTGATTCACATATTAACTTATGAGAAACATTGAAAAGTTAGCACCTGCTTATTATTCAAGATTCAGAAAAGAAATTGCAACAAAATTATTACCCTTTGTATTCGTTCAGCTTCACTTCTTAAAAGAGAGCTTCGTCTTCACTCTTTCAGTTTACAATGAATCTCTGATCTCAGTGAGCCAATCAGAGTTCGTCGTCAAAATACAGACGACTTTCTATATGGTCATTTCTTCTGACATCCCGGCATAGTTAATGCGTACATATTTAGCATGTGTTCCTTCCACATCGCTGATTGGTTGAGAAAGGCTCAGCATGGTAGATTTGAAATGATTTATTACCCGGGCTGTCACAGGCACCAATTTCGGGCTGCTAAATTGTTATATAGTCTATATTAGGCAGAGGGTAGTTTATAACTAGACTCTGAGCGCAGGGTACAAAATTATAGAATTCGATTTATTTATTTGACTTCAGTCATTGTGTTCATATATTCAGTATTAATGCCCCTAAGGTCTTGTTGACTTATTTATTAGCTTCTGGAAAATAGTCATCAAAATAGTATAAAGTGCAATCTGACCTAACTAATCCCTCTATAATTAAATTATAACTCGATGAATATGTATTTTTCATCAAATAGTAGTGATTATAGGAGTAATGCTTTTCTACATGTATATGTATAAAAAATGAGGAAATTTAGTTACCTGAAAGGACAAAAAAGAAAGTCATTGAACTCATTTTATGCATTATGTTTACTTGAAAGAAACATCAATTATATTTATAAAAGTGCAGGAATATATTA